GAAAACATTACAGACGCTGTGAAGCCCCTGTGCCCACCTCTCTGGCCCACCTCCCTGCCCCTGAGGGGGCACTGCATGATCCCCTTTCACCCAGCTGCCTTGATTCTTTTACTACATACATCTGTATCCCTAAACAACATAGATGATGGTTTTGCATGCTTTGGCATGTGAAATAAACATTGTCAGATTGTTTACTCTGCAGTATGTCTGTTATTAACAGCGTGATGTTATGTTTGAGCTTTGTGCATGCTGAGACCTGGTGCTCTAGAAAATTCATTTTCCTGTCTGTATAGTTTTCCATGGTCTGAATATGTCACTGCTTATTTATGCTGTTGGTGGACATTTGGAGGGTTTTGCTTGTTCACTGTTGGGAGCACGGGGTCTTCACGGCGCCGTACAGAGGGGAGGAGGAAGAGACTTGCTTCAGTCCCGGTTCAGAGGGCCTGACTGGGAGTCATACAATCTCCTGTCAGTAGCAGGGAGCCGCTGAAGGCTTTTGAGCAGGAGCGGGACTCAGTCAACAGTGGTGCCTTAGGAACTTATTTTTGCCAGTGGCTCGCAGTTTGGATTGAAAGCAGAGCGCGGGGTAAAAGAGGCTGTTTTAAGGGTTAGTTTAAGAGCTTCTACAGCCCGTTCCTGGGTGAGCCCATGTGGCGGGGGGTAGAAGGCAAACTTGAGAGGGATTCTGCTTTGGTCGCATATGCCAGGGAAAGGGTTAAATCGGAGCTCAAGCCGTGTAACTGGGAGGATGACAGGGCCTTTCCCAGAAAGACAGGCAGCAGGAGGAGGAACTGACAAGCATGGTTTTGGACCTTGGTGATTGTGACACTGCCAACGTGCAGGCAGGTGAAGGAGGAACCAGGGCTCAGAGACTTGAGAGAGTCAAATGGAAGCCATTGCCAGGGAAGCCCTGGGCCTGAGAGCCTGGAGAGGGTGTCCCAGTGTCACTAGGTCCTCAGGCACCTCCCTCCCTCCATGCCTCAGGCCTGCCTTCCCCTGCTCTGAACTATGATCCAGACTTTACGCCCCCAGGACCACCCCATCCCCCTTCCCACAGCCAGCAGGGCACAGACCTCAGGTCTGGCACCCATCCCCAACTTTCTCCATCTCCACCGGCCCCTCTAGTCCAGGCCCTGGTCATCTCTCCTACCTAGTGACTCAGTTTCCCCTGCCTCCCTTCACTCTACTGCCTTTCACTGCACCCTCTACAGAGCAGCCAAGTGAGTTCTTTAAAAGCCGCCAGCAATTTTCCACCCCCTCTCCATGGCCTGGCCCCCTGCCCACCTTGCTCTCTGCCCCTCCAGCCCTGCCCAGGCCTCCTGGCAACTCCTACAACGTGCCCACTCCTGCCTGCCCCTGGGCCTTGGTGCTGCACCCCCCAGCCAGTCTGCACTGCTAGCTCCCGCTTATCTTTCCATTCCCAGCTCGAAGGTAGTCCTCAGAGAAGAGGCCTTCCCTTCCTACTACTCGCCTCCATCACCAGCTGTAGTTAACTGCTTGTTTGTTAATAGATCTGTTTTCTGATTTGGTCTGTTGGCCGTTCCACTCACCACGCTGCCCGAACCCAGCTGCCTTGCTTTCTGCTGTCTGCACCCTGGCTGGCATGTGCAAAAAATATTTGCTGAATAAAGCAAATGAAAGAGGGGGGCCTTGTTTACTGCAGCTGCTTAGTGCACAGCTCCCGCTCTCGCGGGTCTCGGCCTTCATTGGTGGACAAAGCACATGCAGTGAACACCCAGAAAGAGAAGACAGGGGGCATGTACCAGCCCCTCCCGGATGTGGACAGCCATGTGCTAGCAGCTGTGAGGGGCACCGAGCTGAATGTAGGAAGTAAGCAACGGTTGCTCAGCACTTTCCACTGCCAGGCCCTCGACTAAGTGTTACCATTTGTTATCTTGTTTTATGTCGCTTAGTCTTCACACAGCCTTGCAGAGGTAAGTCCTGGTATCACCGTTTGATAGATGAGGAACCTGACCTGAGACCAATGACTGGCCCAAGCTCTCAGGGATAGGCGGGGCCAAACCGTGACTGGAGCCCAGAGCTTTCCATTACCAGAGGCCCCGGACTTCCCATAAGCCTAAGTAGGATGAAGTCAGGAGCAGGGTTCCACGCATGGATGCGACGTGGTGTGAGGGCACAGAGGAAAGGGTGACTTTTAATATTTGTTGGTTTATTCTTTGTTATCTTTTCATTTTGAAATAATTTCAGACCTGCAAAAATAGTACACAGAATTCCCATATACCCCTCACCCAGAGCCCCCAAATATTAGCATCTTTCATAACCGCGGTACCATTATCAAAAGCAAGAAATTAACATGAATACAAATTTTTAACTACTCTTCAGACCTTATTGAAATTTCACCAGTGGTCCCCTAACATTCTTCTTCTGGTCTAGAATCCAATCCAGAGTATTAGGTTGTTCCAGCCAATCCCCTCTGGTTGGGCATCGCTGCCGTGCCAACTCTTTGTTATCACGACAGCACAGCAGAGAATCAACAGCTCCCACCAGCTCGCTCCCTCTCTCCCTTGGGGGTTCTGCACCTCCCTTCTGTCCAGTTCTTGGTGAGCTCTCCCCAGGTTCTCACATAACCTGTTCCCTTACTTCTTGGAAAGCCACCTCCAGAGAGGCCTTCCTTGACGACGATATCTAAAGTAGCATCTCCTGTCATCATCCTCTGTCCTTTGGCCCTGTTCTGTTCTGTCATCTTTATTTGACAATATGTTTATTGTCCTTTCTGCCCCACTAGACTATAACCCACAAGAGGGTGCTGACTCTGCCTTACTCACTCTGTGCCCAGAGCAGGCTGATCGCAAGGCCTCGCTAAATATCATTGAATGAGCGAAAGAAGGAAGGGGCTGAAACTGATTTAAACGTAAAAAGGAAAAAAGGCCATGAAAAAAATGGACATAAAGACACAAAGGATGGCAAAACCCCTCCATAGTGTGTTAAAATTCCCTAATAGTACAAAGACATGGGCATTTAAATGACTTAAACTTTAGTTAAATCATTTCTACTAAATTGTCACGGAAACCTGCTTAGTTTTGATCCAAGAGTCGTCGCCCCTGCATCCCACCTCCCCAGCCCAACATAGACATAGTAAATCCCTATATAGATTTAGGGTCTGTCATCTACCACCCCCCACCTCGATTTTTCTGTCTCCAGTTCAATCAGAATCCCTCCCCCTTTCTGACTGACTTGCTGTGTAACCCTAAGCATCGACTACCCCTGCCTCAGTTTCCACTCCTAGAGCTCAGGGCCTGAGACAGCTCCTTTCCAAGGCTGACAGGGTTAGCTATAATACATACTTGGTAGGGCCCCATATAAAATGAAATTTTAAGCCTCTTGTTCAAAAAAAAAGTGCCACGAAAGGTACTGAAATATAAAGGTTCCCTTTCTTCTATAGCCTCTCTTTTGACTTGCCATGATGTTTGAAATTTGCTATTTAATGTCATGCTAAGTAAAGAAAAATTAAAAATCTAAACTATGAGCATGAATTTTGTCATTCATTTTTATATTGTGCAATGCCAGTTTTAAATGCAAACGTATAAGAACATTTGACTCATATATGGAATCACTGAAACTACATTAATTCGCATTTCTTAGCTTGTACAGGGATATATGTTTTGTTCTTACCAGAGCCCTAGAAGGCTGCACAAAACTACCTCAACTGTTTTTGTTTCACACCTTGACTCACTCGCATTCTACCAGCTCTCTCTACCTTCACATTCTACCTTCAGCTTACTGATGATCAAGGAAGGACGGAAAGGAAGAGGACAGACTGGTCACCCCCTTTCCCTTTCCTTCTGTCGCATCATTTGCCATGTAGATGGTTTGATCATACAGGGAAGTAACATGAATAAGAAAGGATGTGGTAGGGTACCTTGGTCAATTGTTTCGTAGAACACCGCTGCTTTCTTAATGCCTTTGAAGCAAATTCTGGTTTGAACTGAAAGTGTGGCCTCTCAGGCCAGTCAGTGCCCCCCTTACTCAGTCATAAGTGAACACTCTCCTTGTATCACTTTGAGTCTTGATGAATTTCCACACATAGTAGGTCCATCAGAATTCTGTGCTCCTGAGGGCATTGCGAACATGGTATGTGTATGGGGTAGTAAGGAACGGGGCATTACACGTACTGCCAGAGTGCATATTCTATTGTCCCATCACAGTTACTTTTAAGACACAGGTCAAAGGTAAAATCGTTTAGGATTTCAAGATGGCAACAGCAGAGCATTAAACCAAGCATGGGGTCCTGTGTGACCACATAGGTCACACACCTGTGAAGCTGGTCCTGCCTGCTGGCATTTTGTACTTGGAGGACACTGTCACTCGCGAGTCCCCTCTGTTCTTTTTGCCGCCTTTTCACTGTGTAGCCTGGGATGACCTGGAGTGGTGGCCAGAGGAGTGAAGGAGTGTGGTCAGCCCATCTAGCCTCACTTCTCCCTGCCTCCTCCACTGAACAGCCAAGCAGAACTTTCTAGTTTCCCCAAACAAGCCCTGCTGTCTGCTATTATAGTTTCCTATTATAGTTTCCTCTACCACAGTGGTTCTCAAAGTTGTGGTCTCTGGGGCAGCAGCATAAACATCACCTGAGCTTGTTAGAAGTGCAAATTCCCAGGCCCCAACCCCAGACCTGCTGAGTCAGGTGGGGCCAAGGAGTCTGGTTCAACATTCTCTGGCACCTTGTGATGCACCACCGCTCTTCACAGCTCTTCCTGAAATAGCCTCACCTACTTCAGCTTCCTAATTCCTCCACCCCCTTTACCAAATAAACACCTCAGCCTCCTGGAGTCTTTTCTGTGAATTCCTCAAGTCTCCCCTGATGGGCTATGAGCTGGGGGGTTGTCTGTCTCCTCCAGCTTGTCCTGAGCACTGAGCAGGGCACGCAGTACGTGATGGTAGAGTTATATGGACTCAGGGGTGGCCACGGGAGTGGAGACATGGCGCCTGGCCATCACAGAGGGCCTGAGGCACAGGCTGAGCACAGACATCCCGCCCTGCAGGTACAGCCTGTACACCCGCACCTGGCTCGGGTACCTCTTCTACCGCCAGCAGCTGCGCAGGGCTCGGAATCGCTACCCCAAAGGCCACTCCAGAACCCAGCCCCGCCTCCAACCGTGCCCACCCACCCTCCCTGCCTACTCCCTGTCACATACCCCCAACTGCTGTGCTCCCTGCCCGTCACCCCACCAACAGCCCATCTCTTTTCCCCAGGAGTGAAGGTGCTTCCCATCCCCGTTCTCTCGGACAACTATAGCTACCTCATCATCGACACCCAGGCCCGGCTGGCTGTGGCTGTGGACCCTTCAGACCCTCAGGCTGTGCAGGTGAGGGGAGGGGTACCTGGGGTCACCTTGGGGACTGGCTGACCCTGGTCCCTCCGCCAATGGGATGTGCCCCCTCCACATACACTCACACACGGACCCTGACATGCATATACACACGGAGACCCCCACAGCCACAGCCTGGGGGAGGGTGGGTGTCCAGGGCGTGGCCAGAGGAAGGGGGGGAGGGCAGCAGTGGGGCAACCAAAGCCAGAGAGAGAACGATGCTGACCCAAGACCGTGGCTCTAGTGGGTTTCCTCCGTCTCTCACTCTCTGTGGCCCTTTCTGACCCTCTCCTCTCCTCCCCTCTGTCTGTCAGTATCCGGGCGCTCCATCTCTCCCTCCCATTTTTTTTTCTGTGTGTGCCTATGTCTGTGCGTCTCCCTCTCCCCTGTGGGCCTCAGCTAGCCCTGCTGCCTCCCCAGCATCTCCGTCCGCCCCCTCCTCATTCTCTAACTCCATCCCCTCCCTCTCCTGCATCCCTCCACTTTTCCTTTCCTCTCCTCTGCATCCTGGTCCTCAGTCTCAGTACTTCCTCTCTCCCCCAGGCTTTCATTGAAAAGGAGGGCGTTACCTTGGTTGCCATTCTCTGCACCCACAAGCACTGGTAAGGGGCTTGGGTGGGGGGGGTCTGGATGTGGACGATCTTCCCTGGCTGACCCTTGCCCTTGCTGGGCTTGCCAGGACTGGGCCTCATGAGGACAGGAGGTCAAGAAGTCAGGAGGGGGACATCATCTTCATGAAATATTGGGGCACCGCAGAGAGGGAGGGAAAGGGGCGAGCCTGCCGCTGCTCCACTTACCAGGCTCCTGAAGCCCCAGCGGAGGACCAGGCATGGCAGGCATGTATCTTGCATTTCGTGGGCATGTATTAGATGCCTACTGTGTACTGAATATGGACAAGCCTTGTGATCTCTTAAGGAGGTTATAGTCTAATAGGGGAGACAGCTCTGCATGAAAGTATGCAATGACAAACGATGACAACTATGGCAGTTGGCACGAGGCATAGGAGGTGGGGGGTAGCAGGTGGGGCATAATCGGATCCACTTGGAGGAATTAGAGGCTGATGACCCTTGGGCTGAGAAAGTCCAGAAAGATCAGCTGGCATTGGCCAGGTGATGGGGGGAGGGGATGGCAAGTTGTGGGGACAACATTCTGGACAGTGGAACAGTTTGAGCAAAGACTTCGAGGTGTGGACAGCTTGGCTCAATATAGAAGTCAGGGGCCCCAGGGCTCAAAGGCCTGGAGATGCCATAAGTTAGAGGGAAGCCAGGAGTCCCAGTATATTTGCTTCTCAAAGCCCTGCCTGTCTCTGCCATCCTACAGGGACCACAGTGGAGGGAACCGTGACCTCAGCCGGCGACACCAGGACTGTCGGGTGTATGGGAGCCCTCAGGACGGCATCCCCTACCTTACCCAGTAAGTCCCTGACCCAGAGGGTGGGGCCCTTCCATGGACCCCTTCCCTCACCCTCTATCCTTCAGCTGAGTATTTCAGGGGTAGCAGCAGTTGGCTCTTTGCCGATGCCCTTCCTGGCCCTTAGAGAGCAGATCACAGCCCATTTGAAGACTGGCACTGCTCACCCCCCACTGATCCAGCCATGGCCCCCCAAAACAGGAAAAGGGGAGATGTGAAGCCCTGGGCACTGGTGCCTTCTCTCTGGTGTGGAAGCCCTGACCCCTGTGAATCACCCAGCCCCTTGGGCCTAGGGCAGGGTAGGACCAGCCTGGCATAAGCTCTAGTACCTTCTCTCCTCTATTGCCTTCCTCCTCAGTCCCCTGTGTCATCAAGATGTGGTTAGCGTGGGACGGCTTCAGATCCGGGCTCTGGCCACCCCTGGTCACACGCAAGGCCATCTGGTCTACCTGCTGGACGGGGAGCCCTACAAGGGTCCCCCCTGCCTTTTCTCAGGGGACCTGCTCTTCCTCTCTGGCTGTGGTGAGTTTCCCCAAAGAGAAGAGGGAAGAGGGGGGACAGAAGGGAGGAAGAGAGGGCAGGGCGGGGGCTCAAGGAAAGCCACAGTGCCATGCGATGCATTCAAGTATCGATTTCAGCAAAAATGTTGTCTCAGGAGCTACTCCAATTTGGGGTAACAGTTACTATGTTACTCAATTTTTAAAAAGTACCCCTCGCAACTTCCCACAGGGGATGGATAGGATGAAACAATGCCCGTAGCTGAGGACAGACCTCACAGGGTGTTTGTTTCCACTGGGTGGTGGCTAGCTCTCTGATACAGGGGGACTAGGTTACAAAAACTTGAGAACCCTGAGTGAGAGGATGATGCTGTAGTTGGGGGGATCACAAATCCCAGGCTGTATAGAGTCCCAAAGGGCAGCACAGGCACGGGAGGAAGTGCTGTTTGGAAAAGAGCAGCCCACCATGACCGTGCTTGGAGCTGTTCGTGCTCCGCCTGAAAGTGTGGCCTCCCCTCTCCATCCACATGTCAGTATGTGCAAAGGAGGCCTTCAGACGGGCTTGGTTGGGGGTGAATATTTGGGCCCAGCTCCCAGTGGGAAGGAAGGAGTAGATGCCTAGGAGGTAGGCGTGCCAGGGGCATGTTTGAGGGCTGGTAGCCAGCCCAAGCTGGTCCCACCTGGCTTCGCGTACCTTATACCATGCTGTTATCCTTGTACCCCTGACTCCACCAGGACGGACCTTTGAGGGCACCGCAGAGACCATGCTGAGCTCACTGGACACTGTGCTGGGGCTAGGGGACGACACTCTGCTGTGGCCTGGTAAGGTGCCCCTCCTGCTTGTCCTCCGGGCTCCTCACCCCCACAGGGTTCCCGCCGACCCAGCCAGTTCCTGGCCCAGAGGTGACACAGCTCCACCTCTGGTGGCTCTCAGGAGCCCTCTCTAACAGTGAGGGCACAGCTCCCTTCTTTTTGGAGGACTGGCTCTGTCAAGCCTCTGCTTAGCCAGAGCCCAGGACGGAAGATGGCCTCTGCTCATCAGGGAGAAGTCAGTAAATCCAGTCTGCGTGTATCCATTGCATGCGTCCATACCTGTACAGACATACATTGCATGTTTCTAGTTTCTAAAGCACAGTCACTAGTATCTCAGTTCATCCTCAGAACATAAATTTATCCATTCATACTTTCTTGAGCACCTAACATGTACCATGCTGTGTTCCAGGTACCGGGGACACATCCTTGTTCTAGTGGCATTCTTGTTTTCTCCACTTGCCAAAGAAAACTGTGGCTCAGAGAGGTGCCATGACTTGACCAAGGCCACACACTGGGCAGAGGCAGAGTCAGGCTAGACTGCAGGCCTCCTGGCTCCAGGTCTGGTGGTTTCCCCTTGGGCTTCTGCCTCCTCACTCATGGCTGACTCGTGCCCACGTTTAGAGAAGCAGCTCCACGTGGCTGGGGTGTTCTGGAAGCACTTCCCCTCCTCCCTGGTTGTCCATCCCCACAGGCCTGGGAGCAGGGAGGACGTTTTCTGACAGCATCCCAATCTCTCTCTGCCCTGCATCTTGGCCACATGGCGGTCCCTAGGTCACGAGTACGCGGAGGAGAACCTGGGCTTTGCAGGCGTGGTGGAGCCGGAGAACCTGGCCCGGGAGAGGAAGATGCAGTGGGTGCAGAGGCAGCGGATGGAGCGCAGGAGCACGGTGCGGGCTGGGGTCCAGGAGGGGCCGAGGGCGTACTCCCTTGCGGGAACCCTTCTGGCCGACTCCCAGAGCTCAGACATGTTTGTTCCATGGGCCTTCGAATGAGAACTCCTGGACCACGGGACAGGGCGCTGGGCGGGGTGGGGGTGGGGCTTTCTTTGTTGGGTCCATTTACCAGATCTCCCCCACCAAACCCAGGTGCCTTTCGTCCCACAGTGCCCGTCCACCCTGGGAGAGGAGCGCTCCTACAACCCGTTCCTGAGGACCCACTGCTTGGTGCTGCAGGAAGCTCTGGGGCCAGGCTTAGGCCCCACAGAAGACGACGACTACTGCCGGGCTCAGCTCCTGGAGAAGCTCCGCCGGCTGAAGGACCTGCACAAGAGCAAGTGACACCGACCCCAGCCCACCTCAGCTCACCCCCACCGTGGGGAGGCCACCCATCGCCCACACACACCATCCCTCCCTTTGCTACCACCATCACTTCCATCAGTGCCCACGGTGGCATCATTCCCCGATGCTGTTCCGGGGGAGAGGCGGGCCAAGGCGAGGAGACCTTCAGGCCGAGAGGAATGGGGCCCCTCGAAGGAAGGAGACTCCAGGGGGTGAGGCTGACTGGGAGGGGCCCCCTCCTCCCGTCCCCTGTTCCTGTGATGGCCGTGAGGACGTGGTGGCTGCTATGAGCCTCTCCCTCAGGAGACCTATCTCTCAGTGTGGCCTCTGAACTCAGGGCAGCAGGTGCCATGAATAGGTTGAATCCATCTTTCCCCTCCTGCCATTCAGGGCTGGGAAAGAAACTCAGTCCACCAAAGTGGTCTGAAGTGAGGTGCCTTGGGAAAGTGGTCGCTCAAAGGGGCACCTGGGCTCTGGTTTACTGAGACACTGCCCGTCTTCCCCAAGTCTCCCCACCCTGCCCCGCCCCCACAAAGGCATTTTTCAAACAGAGCCATTTCTGAGAAAGATGAAAGGGCTGAAAGTCTGGCCAATCTCTGCCTCAGTGACCCCCACAGCCTGGAAGAGGGAGGATCCTGGTTGCCAAGGAAACCTTGACTTCAGGCTAAGGAGACAGTGGAGGCTTCTGGGACTGCCGTCCCACAGTCATGTAGGCCATTCGGGCTCCCCGCACAGCTGGCCTGGTCCTGGCTGCTGGCCTCTGCCCCTGCCCTGGGCCAACAGGGCCCCACCCTCCCAGGGGAGAGAGAGCTATTGTCTGCCAGGCCACTGTGGTTCTCTTGTTGTGGCCCATATTCTTAGGAACTTCTGCTTTCCTCTGATTCCTGCTTTATCCTCAACCCCTTTTGTAATTAACGACATTCATCTGACCCCTTGCAGTTTGCCAAGAACATTCCATGTCATTTCTCATTTGATCGTTGGCCCCGTCCTGGCTGTGGGAAGGGGGTCTGTGCAGCAGAGTTCAGAAATCAGAAGCCTGAGGGCAGAGATCTCTCAAGTGAGTGGCAGCTTCCGGGACCCCAGGCCTGGGCCCTTCCCCTCTGCTCAGCCCTCCCTCAGCTCAGCTTCTCTGGTCTCGGGTCCACGTCCCTATGGGGCCAAAACGAGGAACCCTGTGGTCCTCGAGCAGGCGTACCTTGGGTCAGCCAGGAGCCTTCTCTTCCTTCAAAGAGAAGCCTTCCTTCAGGCCCCGCTCACCTCTGGTGAGCCTCCGAGATACTCCCTGCCCTCTGCTTCCCCTCATCATCTGGCTTCTGCCTCCCTCTCCAGCCACAGCCTCTGGTACCAACTCCAGCAATACTCCCAGAATAGTTAGAGTTCCCTGCCCCCTAAGACATGCAGTTTCTTGCCTCTGTGCCTTCGCTCATGCTGTTTCTTTGGACTGGAATGCCTTTCCCCTGCTCCTCTTGCCTTGTCTGCCTGGCAAATACCTGTTGATCTCTCACAACCCCCCTCAACGGCCCCCTCCTCTAGGAAGAAAACCACCATGCCCCTTCCCCCCGAGGCTACCTCTGCTCTTTGTAAATGCTTCTCTTTGGCACTTAGCACACTGTATTTTACTTGTTTACATGTTTGTCTCCCCTTCCAGACTGTGAACCCTTCAGGGCATGGACTGTATCTTATGCATCTCTGTATTTCTGCGCCTAGCACGGTGCCTGGCACACAGTAGGCGCTCAATAAATGTTGAATGAATGAATGATTTAACCGAGCCTTGATCACTCAGTGAGCTTGTCTTTATTGCTGGTTCCGTTTTCCTGTCTGGGTTCCAGGTCTGACATCTTGGAGTTACTGCACCTCAAGAGCTTTGGCCAGAAACAACTGTGTAAATATATCCTCCCATAACTCACGTGCTTTTGTTCAGGGCTTACAATTTGCTTATCTCAATGTTTTCCAAAGCTTGAGATGCAGAGGTGTACCCTGGCCACAGGGGAGATGGTTTTGCGTAGTCACAGCACAGCAGTGAATAGCGCTCCAAGGGCAAGGCCTTGATACTAGCCTCTCTTTAATGCCTCTCTAACAAACTAAGAGCCAGGCGCCACTATCTGGAGATTAACAACATCATTTTGTTTGCATTGTATTTATCTTCGGGGCCAATATTTTAACAAATAACAGCACTTTTCAATCATGACAGTAATTAAAGATTTTTTTTTAATCTTATTGGGGAAAAACCGTGGTCATTGGTGGCACATTGCTTTCATGCTACAATGGCATAGTTGACTCTTTTAGGGAGGGTGTAGCTCACAGTGGCCCATGCGGGGATCAAACAGGCAACCTCGGTGTTATCAGCACCACACTCTAACCAACTGAGCTAACTGGCCACCTCCTAAAGATATTTATTGAAATAAGTAAAGGTGGCTTTTTCCTTTTGCGTCATTGCATCTGAGAGAGCAAGAAGGGTCACCAGTCGCTCTACTGGAGCCATCCGAGAAAATCCAGCCAGGGTTCTTGTTCTTGCCGTGTCTGCTCAGACAGGCACTGCCTGATCTCAATATGTGCTGCCAGTGTTTCTGTCAATGCATGAAGGCTATAGGCTTCCTTAAGCTGGACTAAGTGAACTTCCTTGAATGGGTCATTCGAGATGTCTACCTTACTACAGAAACAATGCTAACTCTTTATACATAACATTTTTAAAAGACTTAAAAAAAAATAAGAAGTAAAGGTGGCCCTCAGCTATGGCAGGATTCTTGAAGTTGGCGCTGGTGTGGCTGAAAGCTGAAGCACTCACTGGCTTAGCTCCACATTTCCTTGGAGCCAGTCCAATACATGGGTCTCCCTCCCCTGGCCCTACTTCTGCCTCCTCTCTTAGACGCTCCTCACCTCAAGTCAGGGAACTTGACACTGGCCCTGGCTGTCTTGGATCAGGGCTGCACCTGGGGTAGGAGTGGGGGAAGGGGCCGTGGTCCTCACCCACCTGAAGAAGGGTGGCTAACTGTGCCCTGTGATTGTCTCTGGGTCTCTGCTGTCTTGAATGGGCAAGCCCCAGGACCAAGTCACTCTGGATATGCCCAGCTTTGAGGGGCACTTGGTGATGGTTCTCCAAAGCTGGTGACACATTTTCCAAGGGCCTTGAGTGATCCTCCCACTGGGGCATCTATCCTGAAACAGCACATATGCTTCTCCCAGAGCTGGCACTGACCAGCATCCAGGCCTCCTGTTCCTTGCTTGCAGGACAGCAGGTGTCACTAGCCTTAGAGACCTGGGTTCCAGTCCCAGTTCTATCACTCAGCATCCAAGCAACCTTAAGCAAGTCATTTCCCTGACCTCAATTTATTCCTCTTCCAATGGAGAAGACAACCTTGAATAAGTCAGAACCCTTTCAGGTGCACGTGACAAATACTCAGAAGTTTAAACCAAAAGGGAAATTTATCAGCTCATGAAATTGAGAAGTTTGGAATTATGTCATGGTAACTTTAGGCATGAAGAGGAACAGGATGTTCATCATTTAGCTCTGCTTTCTTCCATACTGGTGTCAGGCTTTCTCCTACAGTGGAAAGATCACCCCTAGAAGTTCCAAGCTACTAGTTCATCAAACCTAGCAGAACCTCCCATAGTCCCAGGGATTGAGTTTCATTGGTCCAGCTTGGGTCATATGCCCAACCCTGAACCAATCAGAGGGGTTAGGGGACCTCTCTGACTGGCCACGTTAGGTCATATGGCCAGGAAGGGCAATGTCAGAGCCAACTGAGGCACACTGCACTAAGAGTGGGGAAAGGGTCCTCCAAAGGAATAGCATGTCTGATACCAGAAATGATACAAGGCAGTAAAATCATAAACCTTCACTAACAATTCCACTTACTGGGGGCAATTAGGAGAGTCAGATGAGGGAAAGTATATGAAGTCACTTTGGAAAATGCTACAGCAGATTTCTAGTGTTATTAATTATAGAGAAGAGATGTAGATAGACAAATGGCCTCCAAGGTGTAATTTTAATACGTAATTTTAAAAAATAACCCACAAGCTGTTCATTTTTTCTATTGTTTTCCTGAATCACAGGCTGTCTCTCTGGAGATACAAAAGGAGAAAGGGAGTGTGGGGCTAAGCGAGCAGCTGTAGGCATTCCAGGGAAGAACAGAGAATAGGGGAACTTGTAGGTGTGAACATGTAGATTTGAAGAGGCCTGTGTGTACATGTGTGTGTTGGGGGGTGGTCTTAGTCCTCCAAGGCCTTGGCCACAAATGGAGCCTTTGAAAGCAGGTAGGAACCTGCTGGTCAGTAACCCTGATTGTCAGTAAACCCTAGGCTCCAGCAAAGTCTGGACAGGGTGGTAGAAAGAAAAAGGACTTGGAGTTGGAAAGGTCTGGTTACAAATACACACACGTTCTGCCTCTGATTGTCCGTGAGTAACACCAGACAGGTGGCTCATATCCCTGAGCTCATTCTGGGGTGGCTGGGAGAACTGAATAAGACGCACAGTGGTGTGCAGTGAACAGCAGCCTCTCCCTCCTCTTACTATTGCTAATGAACTTAGGGCTAGTCTGTCAGGGACAATAGAACAAAGTGATTAAGAACATGGACTTTGGAACCAGCCCACCTGGATTGGAGTCTGGGTGACCTTGGGCACGTTACTTAACCTTTCTGTGTCTCAATTTCTCATCTGTCCAATGGAGATGATGCTAGCACCACCTTAGAAGCTGATTGTGAGGAATAAATGAGCTAATACGGGCAGAGCTCAGCACATTGTGAGCCCTCTGTATGTTAGTGGTGGGTGTTCAGTAGATGCCCACCCCAGCAGCTGGGAGGGCACAGGCTGTCCATGTCACAGGCTCAGAGAAGCCAACCTGCCCAACACAGCGGCATAGCTAGTATGTCACCCCACTCCAGACCGTCCTTCCACTGGCTGTCAGGCCCTAATAGGGGGACAGTAACAAGTATCCTTGACAGATCTCTTCCAGAGGATTAAAAAATAGACAAACTGATGTTGATCCTGCTGTGAGCCACTTTGCCGAATTGCTTTCTTCCCCAGCAGCTGGCAGGAAATAGCGAGCACCAAGGGGGAGGAAATGGGGGAGGGGTGTGTGTGAGAGAGCTGAGAACCTGGGCTCATGAGGAGGGCAGGTGGGGGTCCTGGGCAGCTAGAGGGGACTGACCAAGGAGAGGTGAGGGGATGGGGGAGAACTCCGAAGGGAGATGGGGGTGCACAATAGGTGGGGAAAATACATAGGCACCCCTTAAAGAGCACTGAGACCACAATTTGCTTTTTTAAATTTTAAACTTTGTCCTAATAATCAAAAAGATTTTGTCAAACTTTATGTAATTCACAAATGGAAGCAGTAGTGTTTGCTTTTTTTAGATTTTATTTCAATCCTTTATTTTGTATTAACAACTTTATTGAGATAATTTATATAACACAAAATTCACCCTTTGAAAGTGTAAAATTCAGTGGGTTTTGTTATACGCACAGTTTTGCAACCATCATCGCCATCTAATTTTAGAACATTTTCATCATCCAGGAAAGGAACCCTGTGCTCATTTGATATCACTCCCTGTCTCCATGTCCCCACTCCATCCCCACACTAGGGAACCACTGTTCTACTTTCTGTCTCTAGATTTGCCTATTCTGGACATGTCATATAAATAGAATCATGCGATATGTGGCCATGACTGACTTCTTCCGCTCAACATGTTTTCAACGTTCATTCATATTGTAGCACGCATCATACTTTATTCCTTCTATGGCTAAATAATATTCCATTGTGTTTATATACCACATTTTGCGTATCCATTCGTCAGTTGATGGATAGTTGAGTTGTTTTCACTTTCTGGCTATTACGAATAATGGTGCTGTGAACATCTGTGTATGAGGTTTTGTGTAGATAGATGTTTTCAGTATCTACCTAGGAGTGGAATTGTTTAGTCATACAGTAACTCCACGTTTAGCTTTTTGAGGAACTAACAAACTGCTTTCCAAAGCAGTTGTGAACTTTCCTAATGTCACTGGGGGCTCACGTGCAGAGGAAGTCTTGTTCTCAGAATCCACTGTGGCTTTTAACAATTAATACTCAATTTATTTAAATGTTTTCATTTTTATTTTATTTGTTTGTTTGTTTTGTTTTGTTTTAACTGGACCATCCTGCCACCTGTTGGCAGCTCAGTGGCAGCTCAGCTCGGGCTGGGAATCGAACCGGTGACCCTGTTGCTCAGAGCTTGCACTCTTGAGTGAGCTCTTAACCAACTGAGCCACTCGGCCAGCCCTAAATGTTTTCATTTTTAAAACATGTCAAAAACTTTTAAGTTCAACTTACAGTCATATTATTCGAATTATAAATCTACTGAATATTAACTTCTGAGAGTGCTTTGATGACTATTTGGTGCTCTTTTTAAAATTAAAGCTGCTTTAGGCAGCTTATATTGCCCCTATTCCTTCTATATACCGGGGGTGCCAAAAAAAAAAATGTATACCCATGACTCGTGTTCTTCTTTTGTTATCAGTATATATTGAGTGTTACAATTTTAAAATAGTTTTTTTCCTTCCTTACATTTTTTTGGTACCCTCTGTATATGTAGATTACTATATTTCCTTTTTTTTTATTTTTTATTGGGGAACAGCCATGGTCATTGGTTACACATTGCTTTCATGCTACAATGGCATAGTTGACTCTTTTGAGGAGGGCGCAGCTCACAGTAGCCCGTGAGGGGATCGAACCGGCAACGTTGGTGTTATCAGCACCATGCTCTAACCAACTGAGCTAACCAGTCACTCCTGTATTTCCTTTTTTAAAGCAATTTATTATAATATGTCAATTATATCTCAAAAAAGCTGGAAAAAATTAAGTAAAAAGAATTCAATTCTCTTAAAATTTTTTTAAAATAAAGCAATTGACTGACAAATCAGCCTCCCAAGTACTTTTATTGCAATCTAATAAGTAAACATATAAATATAGTAAATTTGAAGGTTTTTTTTTAATGTTTTACAATCTCAGTAAGCATTTAACTTCAAAGAACAGTCTAAATCAACTAGTCAACTGCCTCATTTAAATTAGAATCTCCAGGCTTATCTCTTAAGCACCCTACCATGCCAAATTATTTTAAACATTTCAAGCACTTGAATACCAAATATGCACAATGTAACATAAAAAAATATCAACACTGTGGGCCGGCCGAGTGGCGCGATGGTTAAGAACTCTCTTGGGATGCCAGAGGGCCCCGGTTCGGATCCCACATATGAGGGCCAGTGACACTGCCCTCTACAGCTAAGATGCTGAACAACAGCTCAACCTGGAGCTGGTCTGCTGTGAGTCGCCGGCGACGGCGTAGGCTGCAGTCCCTGTGGCAGTGGATTGCCATGGGCTACCGTATGTAGCCAGCAGCCAGCGTGAGCGGCCAGCAGCCGCAGTGAGCAGCTGTCCAGAAGCCGGCGACTGATCTGCCTCGCCAAGGAAGAGCGCAATGATGGTGCCAACTTGGGCCAGTGAAGCAACGTCCTCCACAACTAGACTGAAGAACAAAAAACGACAGCAACTTGTCTGTTCCCCTTCCCCCAATTCCCCAGCACTGTTCCATCCCCCGAATTCCCCAATAAAAAAATAAATAAAAAATAAAAAAATAAAAAAAATATCAACACTGTTTCTCTTAAGCAATTCCACACATAATTCTAAATCTTCCTGAAGTTGGTAGATAATTACCCAGTAGGAAGTATTTGAAGATTAGCTTACCAAGTGATATGGCAGTGGGGGGAGTGGAGGGGACACATAACTCCTTAGATGACTGAGGTTTCATGTCAAGATTTTTCTTTTATTTATTTATTTTTAAATTACAGTTGACATACACTATTATATTAGTTTCAGGTGAAAACATAGTGATTAGATATTTATAATACCTTACGAAGTGATCACCTCAATATGACAGCAACCATCTGTCACTGTACATAGTTATTACAATATTATTGACTCTATTCCTTATGCTGTACTTTACATTCCCATGGCTTATTTTACAGCTGGCAGTTTGTACTTCTTAATCTCCTTCACCTTTTTCACCCATCCCTTCACCCCCTGCCAATATTTTTCTTCTCTGGGACCCTCACTGTCTGGCTGGGCACTTTCTTATAGCCACGACACAGACTCTAACACGTACAAGGTGGGGGTCAGAGAGCCCACAGCCTGGGGTTTGAGTATATCGTAATTCAATTTTCAAGCCTTCATCTCTAATTACTACCCATGTTACGGTACCACTTGTTTGGATTCAATGTGTCGTCTGTTAATTGCTTCATTTTTCTCTGAATTCTGTCTGACTCTGGAGCCAGACTTCCTTAGATTGAGTCCTGGCTCTGCCAGTTACCAGCTGTGTGACCTTGGGAAGACATTTAACCTCTCGGTGTCTCATTTTTCTTAGCCATAAAATGGAGGAAAAAGGACCTGCTCACAGGGTTATTGTGAAGATTGAGAGGTGTGTGTGAGGCTGTGTGTGTGAACAGCGCCTGGCCTCGGGTTGGCATGGTTTATGAGTTTGCTGTGATTGTCACTGTGATCACCATCACTGTTATATGCTAGGACCACAACGTGTAGTGCTGTTCACACAGAATCTAGTTGGGCTCTGTGCATGTGAGGCCATGACTGATTCAGAGCCACAACATCTAGGTTAATTCTAATGACCCATGTCATTCCCCTGCGTTTTAAGAATGTCAAATGCTCCCTCTGCTGGACAATATCTCAAGCTTGGGCTGAGCTCCAGAACACGCAGTTCCTATCATTTCCTCTAAGGTCTGGGTGTTTAGTGAAGTGGGTTGATGGCCCTTTAAGAGTTGGTAGCTAGCTCCCAGTTACCATGGAGACAGCTGGATACAGACTCTGTAGCAGGCAGCAGGCAGCATGTCCTCTAAAGTTCAATCCACAGGTAGGAAGAGGGCTGCTGGGGCTGGAAAGGGGAGGGCTATCTTCTCCCTCACAATCCACCCTGGGGTGGTCTTGGAGGATTGTGCTTTTGGAGCCCCTGTCCCACCCATGTCCTTCACCCCAAGGTCTGCCATCTTGTCCTGTCCTCCCCACATAGGCCCCAGAGCCAAGGACCACCAGGCCTCAACCCCAGAGAGTCTGCCGACCCCAGAGGCCAATGCTGAAGCCATTCACTTCCTCAACTCCCTCCGTGAGCCTGGGCTATGTGTGTGTGTTGGGGAGGCGGGGAGAAGGTGGGGGCCAGGGCACAAGTATGGAGAGGACCGAAGAGAGAAGGCCCAGACCTGGCCCCCTCTCTCAGCCTTGATTCTCCTGGGACTCAGAAAGGGTTGATATTTGTTGATGTTTTTCAAGGGACATGGGGTGGTGGGGGTGTGTCTTCACCTGCTGGCTGCTGGAAGGCTAATGGAGGGGAGGCAGGGGCTGCCTGGGAGACATGGATGAGGAGGAGGTGGGTAGAGACTGTGGGGGCACTGGAGGCCAGGGGTCAAAGAGTTGAGGCCTAGGAGCTGAGGCTTTATCTGTCCCCACCGGACCCTTACCCCCAGGGCAGGAGGAGCTACAGATGCTGTTCTTCTCCGAGACTCTGGCCATGGTCTCCAACACAGGGGAGCCTCAGGGAGAGCTGACCATTGATGTGCAGAGAGGGACTCACAAAAACATCTCGGGTACCATGTTGCACTGCCCCCTCGTGCATGCCTTTAGCAGAGGCTTCATGGACAAGATGCTCTGCGGAAACTCTCTCCTGGGTAGAGTTCCTGCTGCCTGACACCCTTCACCACATCCTTCCTCCACTGCCCCCGCCCCATCCCAGGACCTTTACTCAGGACCAGCCCTTGGACTTCCTCTTGGGACCAGAATGTGGCACAGAGGGTGTGTGGGAAGTGGGGGTGACAGGGACGTTAATCACAGCCATAGACTCAAGACAAGAGCACCGCTTCATTTTTTGCTGTGGCCACACTACACCCAAGTCCTTCAACCTGAGCCACCCCCCTCCTCTCCTGTAACCTCCGACCCTGTCTCCTGTGACACAGCTGGTCCCCTCCCTCCACCTCAGGCTATCTTTCATGGAATTTGGAGATCAAGGAACAACAGAGTCATGAGTTCATCAAGGTACCTCCTGGGTCCTCCAACCTTGACCCTAATCCAGGGTGACAGAATAGAGACCCTGAGAGGGAGGGATGGGAGGAAAGGGGAACTCAGTGAAATGTCTCCCTAACTTTTTCTCCAGTTACCCTGCAATTCCCACCACACACAATCTGGAAACCAGTCCATCCAGGGTACTGGAGGTCAGCAGCGGGTTGCTTCTGATGGCCTTCTCCTAATCTACAAACGGTCCAGCCCCCTGCCTCTGGACGTCCTCTGGGCTGAGAGCCTAGCATCTCCCTGGGGGCCATGCGGGCTGACCTTTCCCAGAGCCTGGCCTTTTCCAAGGGCCTGTCACCACCTCACTTCCAAAGTCCCCTGCTCTGTAGAGCCCCTCACACCCAGCTCCAGCCACTTTATTAACTTCTGGAATGTGATCCGTTTACACATTGGAAGCTACTCTTGCCTAAGAACCTTCCCACAGAAACCATTCTCATTTGTTAAAACCTGTATTCATTTGCTTTTTAACTTTATGTTGCACCGTAATCTGACTTCTATTCTTGGGCTTTATTACATGTGGAAAGTTTTCTATCCAAAACTCCCCCTTGGTTTTCTCATTTACAAAGGAGAATGGACAAGGTGAGCTCTGGGGGGTTCCTGTCCTTATACAATCTGGTGAGTCCCTGATTCTCCCCTCCATGCTCTGATCCTTAGTTCCACATCCTCCCCATGGAACGGAAGATGAGTTTGCTGAAGCAGGAGGATCAGCTGGCCATGACCAGAAGTATCAAGGAGGGTGAGGTGAGGGTGGGAGCCGGGTGGGAGCTGTACTCCATATCCTCTTGACACAAGAAGCAGGGGCCAGATTATGTCAGGTCAGGAGCTTGGAGTGGGGCCTTAGCAAGGACCGTATGCCCAACACCTGGTTAATCTATCCGCCCTGCCCCTTCCCACCTCAACACTCCTAACCCAGATATGTCCTGAACAGGAAGTGAAGACCGAAGTGACTTTTTTCCCCTGGCATTCAACTGCGGGCTTCATCTCTGAGTCTGCCAACCTGCTGTTGCTGAGGGTGATGGCCTGGCGGCGGATGGTGCCCAGTAACGCCCGCTTCCTGGCCTTGGACATGGAGGGCAAACTCTGCTCTTCCACCTACGTGAGGGGTCTCCCCAGGCAGGGGACTTGGCCTGTGGGCAAACTAGAAGGGGAATGGGGAACGCTGAAGTGGGACAAGAGACAGCTGTGGGGTAGGATGGGGATAAAAATGGGGCAAGGGGGTGGGACTTCCAAAGGCAAGAGAAAGCAAGACCGCATTTGTTTGAGAGACGATCAAGTGTGGGACAGGTAGAGTGAGTGAGAGGGACCGAAGGTGTGAGCAGTTGAGGGAAGCAACACTTTTTGCACAGAAGTCATTCCAAGAAAAATAAACATAGTGGAGGACTGCTTTTAAGGACATTTTTAACATCAGGTAATGCAATATCTCCAAGTACACTTAAATATTCTTTTACGGTGACTAAACCCTGATAAGGGTGTTCCTTCTTTTAAAATTTTATTTTGTCTAAAATTTCATAATCAACATACGTGGGACTTCCTGCAATACATTATTTTAAAGCTGCTCTGAACACACACTTTGCGGGCAGATTTGACTAACTTTGTAAATGACCTTCTAGTCTTTTCTATCACAAACCTGACAAACAGCAAAGTGCTTGACACAAATAGGCACATGCCACTTCCCCCCATTTTCTTTGAAACATGTGTTTTATGTTAGCATTTTCCCCCATGGATGCAGCATGGGCCTGAGAAGGCCACAACAAACCTTAGTCTAGTCCCACTCCCCAGAGCCTCACTGCCCCCTACCACGCAAATAGCCCGTGCCCCTCCCCCATACTCACACCTAATCGGTTAATCCTCATCCCTGCAACAGAATCTGCCACCTGGAAGCACTTGGTAATGGAGAGGGGATAGGAAGGGGTTGGGATAAGAGCTGGCTCTCTATGAGAGAACCCCTAACTTAACTTGGGGGTGCAACTCAAGTCTTGTAGTGCCTGCGTGTCTGGACAGCTTATCACTGATGAACAAAGAATGAAGTTGCAAGATGGAGAAAAGGGCCAGGGCGAGATTTGGTGGGGAGACCCTTATGGGCATCCACATCCCCTCCTTCCCTCCATTTTGGCTGCCGCCAGCAAGCCCTGGGCTCCCAGACCATCCAGGTGGACCATCAGCAGGTGGAAGTGTTCATCGTGGAACAGACTGTACACTCGGATGAGGGCATCCCCACGTCCTGCCAGTTCTACCTGCTGCCTGATGGGTGAGCTACAGACGCGGGGCCGAGGGGGGCAGTGTTGAGCACAAGCCTGGGTGCTCAGCGATGGAGGGTGATGGGGCCAAGGAAGACTACTGTTTCTGGGAACACCACCAAGAAGAGTTGTTGTGAGATCTGAGTGCCCCTGCTTTTACCCACACAATTCACCCTTTCTTCATTTATTCATTCTCCTGATTCTCACGGTGCCTCCCAAACCTCACCAAAGAGCCCTAAATGGCTGAGGACTTTCACTCCAACTCTACAGGGCCTAAGGCATAAGAGCTAAAGCAGCTGCCATGGATGTTGGGTGTCACACTGAAAAACACCGAGGTTTGAACAACTCAACACGCAATAAAAACCAACGTGCTGAGAGAAGCATTCTGGCACCCTGCCCAGCTGTCACCAGCAAAGCACAGGCACCAAACCCTGAGAAAATTCAGGAGTGGGGGAAGAATTTGTTTCTTGACATTTCCAAAGAAGTAATCACTACACTGGAACAAAGTAACCAGGACGTCATTGGCCTTCCTTACAGCTTAGCGTGCTGTGTCTATTTTGCGTGTCACATATAACAGGGAGCTCATGAATTGTTTAGTGCTTACATCTCTAAAGGTCTCAGTCCAGCCCTGGCACACTGCATGCATCTCTAGGGGTGGGAACAGCACCCAGCTTGAAAAGCAGGGGCCATTGTCTGGGGACCTAGAAATGAACTTGACCTGGGAACTCAAAGACAAGTGGGGGTGGGGGTGGAGGGCGGGATTCAGGAGTAAAGTGAAACCCCCAGGACAGCTCTTGAGGGAGTGGGTATAGGGAGACACACCTTCTCCTGTGTTGCTCTCCAGGCACCTAGCCAAGAGAGTCCAGGTGGGCTCCCCCGGCTGCTGCATGATCACCAAGATGCCCGTCATCAGGGAGCGGGGTGAGTGAAGCCTCTGGCTGGTGGGAAAGGGAAGGGGAGGTGGGCAAACCTGGGGCCTTTCGGAGTGCAGGGGCTGGACTGAGTGTGTCATGGTTGGGATCCCAGCCAGAGATCATCAAATGGAGAAGCTTTGCCTTCCAGTCCCTGACCTCAGGACAATGAGGAAAGGATCATTTTGCGGGAGCCCCCTTCCAGCAAACCTACCATATGGGCAGAACCCTGGGGTTTTACCTGAGCCTGCAGTTTGGGTGTTCTTGGGCATCCCGGGTATCCAAGAGAGGTTCTGGGGTCCCGGTAAACATCCTTCCTCCCTCCCACCCAGATGAGATTGAGCCTCGCCCGGTATTTGAGAAGAAGCCCCTGATGTGGGAGGAGGACATGGAGCTGTACTCGAGGTTTCTGGATCGGAAGGTGAGGAGAGGCTGCAGCCTGGGGTCCCATTCTCCCGCCCCCTCACCCCCCTCCCCCCAACGTAAATTCCACCACCACTGATCGCTCTTCGTGCCCGGTTGCAATGCACACCCCAGGGGACTGGGAGGTCTCAATGTCCCTAATCGCTCCTTGGGGCGAAGTAGGGAGCTTCCTGGGGCGCAGGGGTCCCGGGTCTGGCTCAGGCTCGGTCCCGCCAGGAGGAGCTGCGTCTCAGCCACACCAGGTATCTGCAGCAGCACCCGGAGGCCACAGCGCTCATCTCGGACTTCCTGCTTTTCCTGCTGCTGCGCCAGCCGGCAGACGTGGTCACCTTCGCCGCGGAGCACTTCGGCCCCTTCGCGACGTGTTGGTCGCCCACCCCGGGCTTGCGCTCCTCCAATCGTCCCAGCCCCTTCCGCGCGCTGGACCCGGAGTCCTTCTAGGCCCGGAGCGCGGCTGGACCTGGGCCCCGCGGGCGGGTAGTGAGCAGAAAGCCGGCGCAGCCCGGCTGGGACGCGGGCGGGTCGCACCCGGGAGGCGCGCCTTCCGGTCTGCGGTTTTGAGGGGAATAAACGGGGCCCTTCCAAGAGTGCGAGCCAGAACCTTCCCTCGCCAGAGTCTTGTGTCTTGGCTAAGAATAAAAACCATTAGCAGCGTTAAACGGGCGATTTTCAGCCTTTCTTCTTAAATGCTATTATCATCATTATCCCCGTTTTATAGATAAGAAAATAGAGACACCAAAAGGTTAAGAAACTCTCAAGAGTTAGCACGTGCGAAGCAGGATTCAAACCTGGAGGGTGGATTCCAAACCCCCCCCTTATCAACGGGCTAGCAGGGGTGGAAGGGTGGAGCTTCTTGGCACTCAGAATCTTTCTAGATACCACTTAGCATAACTGCGATTCCCCCACTCCAAAGAAAAAGAGCAGATGATGCGCGGGGAGGGGCGATGAGGAAGGGATCTGGACCACCACTGGCCTTGCTCATCTCCTCCCAAGGCTCCCCAAAACATCGGCTGCCCCCTCTCACACTCTACCTCCCCCTTCGTTCCCACTGGCACACAGGAACCCCCAAACTCCAGGCGGAGTCCCCATTTGCCGGCTCCGGGAGGAAAAAGGATGCACAGGTGACCACCATCTCCTTTAAGCTCCTTGCTTAATGTCCGTCTGTGCAGGAGCTTGTTTCTGCACAGTGCTGGCTGCTGCTCAGTAGCAAACATCAGGCACACTGCCCTAAGGCAGCTGGCAATGAGGGTGCAGGATCCACCGTCTGCCAACTCATTCATGGGACCTGCTGTTTCGAGAGAAGACAACTCAGAGAAGCTTTGCACTCTAGGCTATAATATGAGCCAATATCTACAAGGCTGGGATATGGGGTGGTCCACAACCCAAGAATCAGGGAAGGCAGTCTTCATGGAGAACTGTAACTTGAGTTGAGCCTTAGAGAATTTTTAATAATATATTTTATTTTATCCTTCCCTTATTTCAAAAGAAATACATGTTCATCGGAGAAAAATTTAAAAGGGGTGATAAACCAAAAGAAGGAAGTGAATTCACATCAAATCCTCTACCTAGAAATGGCTATTTCTAACATTTTGGCAAATCCTCTCTCTATTCTTTTTTCTATGCATAAAAGGGAATGGCGTTTCTTCAGCATTTACTCTGTCAAGCACTTTTATATAGAATATTTGATCTGGTCTACAGCTCCAAGCGACTTTATTTATTTTAACAAAAATAAAATCATATAGTAATAGATGCTCATTAACTGTTAACTTCATGCTTAATTACAGTCTTGAAAAGTTTCAAACATTAGAAAACATACAGATAAACCTGAAATCTCCCTAGATTCCCACCCCAATCTCCTCGTGTTTTGTTAACTTTTTTTTTAAATATATTGTAACTGGCTCTGTTTCATTCAACAATATATTTTGAAAATATTTCCCTGTCATTACACAGTCTTCTATGTTGGATGGCTTTACCATAATGTAACCAATCCCTACCCCTTCCTACCTCTTTATTTTTATTTTTATTTTTTTGCTATCATAAACAGTGTTACATTGAACTTCCTTGTAGCTAAATCATTGCATACATCAACATTTATTTCCTTAAGGATATATTCTGAGACATGTAGTTGTTGAATTGCTATTAAGGCTTTTGTTTGTTTTAGCATATTACCAAATTCTACATATATAGCATTTTTATTAAGGGTCAGATATGGCATTCCAGGTAGAGAAATACAACATCAGTAAAAGTAGGAAAACGTAATGTATGTGCATGGTCTAGAGCGGCACCATCCAACAAAGCTTTCTGTAATGATGGAAATGTCCTTTACCTGCAATGTCCAATATGGTAGCCATTAATCACATGTGGCCACTGAGAACCAGAAGTGTGATTAATATGACTGAGGAACTGGAGTTTTACTTTAATTTTAATTCATTTCCATTTAGATAGCCATACGTGGCTAGTGTCTGCCATATTGGACCACACTAGAGAGTAAGTTTTTTCATTCAGTCAGGCACACAGCTCAACAAATATTGGGCCCTTTCCACGTGCCAGGATTGTTCTGGACACCGGGAGATCAGCAGTGATAAGACAAAGTCCCGGTCCCCGTGGAGCTTACAAGTAGTGTGGGGAGATGGATAATAAACACAAAAGGTAATTTTATATGTGAAACTTCAGACATTAATGAAACCAAATAAAGCCAAGTCATGGGTAGAAAGTGACTCAGGGTTGGAGGGTGGAGGGTGAAGATGTCAGGGAGGGCCTCTGCGGTGTCAGTTAAGCTGGGACCTGAATGACAAGGAGTCAGACGTGTAAAGAGCTATGGGAAAAGCATTCTAGGCAGAGGGAATAGCAAGTGCCAACGCTCTGAGTATGCCATGTCAGGGACAGGAAGCCAGAGAGGCCAGAGCACAGTAGGGCAGGAGAGGCTGGTGATGAGAGTGCTCAGTCATTGTGAGGTTGGACAGGGCTGGGTCACAGAAGGCCCTGGCTTGTTCTTTTCGTCTGTGGAGAACTGAAACTGAGGCTGACCCAGCCCAGTGCTCCCAGAACATGCCTGCAGAGACTCCAAGAGCCCGCTCCAGTCCCCGATACTCTATAGCAGAGGGGGGAGAGGGGAGGGCCTTTCTCTGCTGAGCTGTCTTTCATCAAGTGACTTGGGAAGGAGTCTAGCCACTTCCCTACCAGCTCTGTGACATTTCTTTCAAAACTGGTTTGTTTTTAGATCATATCATTTGTTCCTGGAATTTCTATGACCTTCCTCCTCTTGCTCCATAATGCTAAAATGTATATTTCTCTGAACAAAGGAAAAACAAATGTTGAGCACTTCTGAAGTGCCAGAGACTGGGCTAGGATGTGGGGTTGCTCTGGGGGGCATCAGGGTCGGGCCCTGCCTGCATGGCACACAGGCTAGAAGAGATGAGACATCATTCAAGGATCCCATGGATAAATATAGACCATGGAAAGTGCTAACAAGGAAACACATGCATGCAACTTAGAGTGTTTAATGCAGACTTGACCTAGTGTGGGAGCCCAGGGAGGCAAAAGGAAATGAATCATCATAATAATAAGAGCAAGCTCTATATAGCACTTACTATTCTAATCCCTTGACATGTGATAATTCACGTGATTCTCACAACACCCCTATATGGTGGGTTCTGTTATTATACCCATTTTACAGATGAGAGAAAAGTTAAGGCCAAGGAGCACAACTGGTTAATGGCAGAGCCAGGGTTTGGACCCAGGGAGCCTGACTCAAGTCTATGTATGAATCCACTCTGACAAACAAATCAAATGTGGCTCTCTGGAGACAGATGCCAGAGCAGAGAAGAGACACCTTCCTGCTTTAGATACATCCAGAGTAGGCTTGGCTGTATACTGTCTTTCCCTTTCCCCAGGCACCCAGAAACTGCCCCACTCCCTACTGCATTGTCACTGACAGCAGCTTCACTGCTGTGAGTTGCCTGAGTAGACAGGGAGGGCACTGTGCTGAGGGAGCACACAGCCTGGCCCTGGGGAGATCAAGGAAGGCTGCCTGGAGGAGGTCACACCAGACCTGAGTCCTGAAGGAAAGCAAAGTGTATGGAGGATGTTTGAAGAGGAAGCAGCAAAGTCCTGCAGGTGAGAGGGAGGGAGCACTAAATCCCTGAGCGACGGCAAGGGGTTCAGGACAAGATGATAAAGGATCTGGGAACACAGCTAAAGTTTTGGCAAACATCTGGGACGCTGAGAGACCCTAGAAGTGGGTTAGGCAAATACCTGAATACATTTGTTTCCCTCCCACAAGAAGCCAGAATGAGAGCAGATAACCAAAGAGCAACGCCACAGATTGGTGACATCTTACAAGAAGAGCCTCACGTTTTGACATTTTATAACAAAATCGAAAACCAGGGGTGGTGATGCCCTTGGAAGATGCAGACATGGCCTTCTGAATCTTGGTCATGCTCCTCACTTTAATAATTTTTTGGTGAAATCTGTTCTTTCCCCAGCACCAGCATTTGTGACAAAACCCATCTTGTTCATTTGGTGATTTCTCATTTTGTTTTATGATATATTGCATCAGAATTGTCTTCTGCTAGTTAATCGTCACAAACATCCCATGTTTAAGCTACACCGAACCCAAAGGCTTTGGGGGCAAGTCTGAGGAAGAAACCGCCATGAGCATCCAAATTTGTAACAGAAAATGCATCTGGAGTTCTGAAGAACTGACAGTGACCAATGACAACGTGGAGCCCAATTTACAAAAGCAACAAATGGCACAGAGCTAGATGCATATATAGTGAGCCTCATACAAATTCTTCGAGGCTTACTATTTTATTATCCCACTTTACAGGCGAGGAAACTGAGGGCCTAAGAAACTTGCCTAAGTAATAGCACTAGTAAGTAAGATTCAGACTCAATCCATTTGATTCCAGAGGCTCTGGTGGGGAGTTTTTAAATCAATTTTTATTGAGGTATAATATCATTTAATAAGACACTGTCTTTCCCTCCATTTTTAAAATTCAGATTCGCTCATATGTGTAGTTGTAAGAAATAATTCAGAGAGGTCTCATGTACCCTTTGCTCACTTTCCCTCAATGGTAACATCTTGGGAAACTATACAATATTGCAACCATAATTTTTTCCCACTTTTTTGGGTGGTAAACCATACATAAAATTTACCCTTTTAACCATTTTTAGGTGCACAATTTAGTGGCATTAAGCATATTCACATTGTTGTGCAACCATCACCACTATCCATTTCCAGAACATTTTTATCATCCTAGAAAACAACCTCTGTTCCCAATAAACTGTAACTCCCCTTTCCCCACTCACCCCAGCTTCTGGCAAATATCATTCTACTTTCTGTCTCTATATATTTGCCTATTCTAGGTGCCTTATATAATATAAGTGGAATCATACAATTTTTGTCTTTTTACGTCTGGCTTACTTATTTCACTTAACATAATGTTTCAAGGTTCATCCATATTATAGCATGCATCAGATTTTATTCATTTTTAAAGCTGAATAATATTACATTGTTTGCATAGACCACATTTTGTTCATTCATCTGTTGATGGACATTTGGGTTGTTTCTGCCTTTTGGTAGTTGTGAAAAAATGTTGCTATGAATGTGGGTATACATGTATCTGTTTGAATCCCTGTTTTCAATACAAGCAGGATGCTGACATTGACACAACCCACTGATCTTTTTCAGATTTCCCCAGGTTTACTTGTACTCGTGTGTGTGTGTGTGTGTGTGTGTGTGTGTGTGTGTGTGTGTGTGTGTGTGTGTGTAAGTTCTGTACAATTTTGTCAGATGTGTGGGTTTGTGTATCTACTACCACAGTCAAGATACTGAACAGTTCCAACACCACAAGGGTCCTTTAGGTTACCCTTTCATAATTACACACCGCCTCCTCCCCACTCCCCCACCTCACCCATCTCTACCCTCTAGCAACCACTAATGCGACCTTCATTTCCAAAACTTTGTCATTGCAAAACGTTATATAAATGGAACCTTTTGAGACTGACTCTTTTCACTCAGCGTAATTTCCTGGAGATTCATTCAAATTGATTGTGCGGATCACTAGTTTGCTCCTTTTATTAAGCTGTGGTTTGTAGTGTAGCCAGTTTAACCATTCTTCTGTTGAGGGACAATCGGGGTTGTTTCCAGTGCTGGTTATATTGGGTCATCTGGAAAGTCATGACGCATTTTTGCATTGAAAAACATAGAAAAATACGTCATGACTTTCCCGACGACCCAATATGAATAAAGCTGCTATAAACATCCATATACAGGTTTTTGTATGAACATAAGTTTTAATTTCTCTGGGATAAAGGTCCAGGAGTATATCTATGGTATGGATATACCATAGTTTGGTTAATCCATCAGGTCTTCAATTGGTTGAATAAGACTCACCTACCAGAGGAAAGGCATCCTGCTTTATTTGTCTGCCCATTCAAATGTTAATGTCCTCCAAAAACACCCTTACAGACACATCCAGAATGTTTGACCCAATGTCCAGTCACCTGTGGCCCAGTCAAGTTGACATAAAATTAACCATCGTAACAACCTACCCCAGCCATCCCCACATGACTCCAAGGTAGTGATTGGGAAATATGTGCAAATCTAGAGGTCAGGGTTGATGATGGGACCTTGCGCAATAGGGTTGCACAGTAACAAACCATGATGCTGCTCTCTGACCCATCATCCACCCCTTCCCCCACCCCTACTTTCCAGTCCCTCCAGCCTCTTCCCATTATTGAGGAGTCAGAGAATTGGCTGCCTCTCCCAACCCTGGCTTTGGCTAAGCGTGTCCTCGGTTAGAGGGTGCCATCAATTTGGGCTTAGCAGAAACTGCTGCCTCTCCCTTCACAGCTGCTCTGGGCGAGTGAAGATGGGGATACATCACATCCCAGATCAGGCCTGGGCCTGAGAACCTGCCCCGATTTTCTCTGGGTCTTGATGTATCAGACTTTGGAATTGGAAACCCCATAACAACTCAGGTTTTGAATCTTCTTGGCAGAAAAGGAAGGTTACAGGAGAGGGGACATGGGGCGTACGGGAAGGAGAAGGCCCTGAGGGAGGGAAGTGGGGAGTACAGGAGCTGGCAAGGAGGAGAGATTGGGAGCTGGAAGAGCCTTGCCCACAGTTTCCCCAGAGCTTACAGAATGATAACCCTCAAGTAGAATCCAGCCGTAGAAATATTTTGTTTAGATTACACATATTTTCAATGTTTTGACCCTAGTATTCAAAAAGCACGTGCTGCTTAAAATTCCAAGAATTCCAGCGTCTTTGACAGATCAGAAAATATGCTGACAGTGGGCCCACATGACAACTGGCTGGAACTCCGCAGGCACTGTCCCTCTTCAGACAGAGTATCTGACCTCTGTCTTTCTACAGTTGCCACCACTCCCTACTGTCCGCGGACACTGAGGTTCAGCATCACTTGTCATTTAACACCGAGCTGGCACTGTTGTTCTTCTTCGCAGCCTGTCTCATAGTTTATCTTTCCTGCCTGGACTCCTTGGGCATCTAACATGTTAACCTCTTAGCTAATCTGAACCCTTCATTTAACAGAGGAAGCAAACCCAGAGAGAGGACATGATCTGGTGTCATGATCAAGTGAATCAGTGCTAGAACCAGGACCAGGATTCCAGTGCCTCTTTCTTCTGAGGATGTCCTTGGCCTGAATCTCGAGTCCATGTCCCTTTGACAGGGTCCAGAAGGTCTTGTCCTCTGAGGCGCTCAGCGGGAGTCTGAAGCCTAAGAAACCACCAGGGCTCTTTCTCATTTAGCCCAACCAGTGTTCATGGGACTCCGGCTGAAGAGGTGAAGGGCCTGACTGCTTGTGTAGGGGAGCTGTCAAATGATCCAGATATGAATGCCCAAGTGGCAGGAAATATCTTGACATCAGAGCTAACTTGGGAGACATAGCTAACATGGGGTGCCTGGAAGTGGGTCAGAGGTATCGTGGGCCTCAGGCCAGAAGGGGAACGAAAGTCCACACTCTGCCAAACAGACCCTTCCGCCAGAGCTGCCCACTTCTGCCTTTGGAAAGTGTTTCACAATGTCCCATGTATGTGAGGACAGCCGAGCTCAGCTGAAGATGGATAAGAGGATGTGGGCTCACACATTGACATGTACCAGCACCCAGAGAGGGAACGTGGGCTTGGGAGCTGCCCAGCACACCGTGCACACACAGAGAGTGCCTGACTTGCTATCATCATGATAGGTGAGTAGCCACCTCCAGGGTCGGGGGTGGGGGAGAGTCAGAGGTGCAAAGGAAGCCTTTGGTCCCCTCAATAGGAGTCCTGGTCTAGACCACAATTCTGGACACGAGCCTGGGGTTGGGCCCTTTGCATCCCCAAGGGCAGAGCATCCCCTTTGTCTGATCCTTGTGCACTTGGAGCCCCCGGAGCTTCCTCAGCTGCTGGAGGAGGCAAGGGTGAGGCCAAGGGGCATAGATGTCGGTGTCACTTAGCCCTCCTCAGAGCCCAGTGTCCCTCTCCACATCCTCTGTGGCATGAGAGATCTGGATTTGGGGGTCTCTGCACACACATGGAAGGAGAGAACTTCTGAAGGCTTCACCTCCTGCATATCCTCTGGAGCATAGTCAAGGGGTGAAGGTGATGGACCCAAGATGGGAACCCAGGCCCCTATTCAGTTGGGCCTTGAGTTCTCCACTTTTCCAGGGGGAAATTGGGGAGGAAGACAAATGGCTTTAGCCCGGGGCCACCAGAAAGAAGCAGGTCACTCGTTGCCTCATGGGGCCCTTTGCAGGTGACAGCAGCCCCCGAAGTCCAAGCGGGCCCAGGTATGGCTCCATCTCCAGCGCATCCAGTTCAGGGTCACAGCAAGCGCCTCCCGGAGCGACCTACCTGAGCGAGAAGATCCCCATCCCGGACACAGAACCGGTGGGAATGCTGGAAACCTCTTGGGCTCTTTCAGGATTTGAAAGGACCACATGGGATCTCACGGGCTGGGGGAGGGTCGTCTTCTGAAGACTATGGCAAGTCCCTTCCAGCTCTGGCACACAGTGCCACTGCCCTTTTCCTGCTTCTGTCCCCAGAACTTATCATTTCTAAAAATTATCAAATGGCTTTCAGGATGCATCTCCGCCTTCCTATGAAGGGAAAGGGACTTGGGGTGAATTCAGGTTGGAGCTTTGAGGATTTGTTGGATCATGAAAGGAACGGACCTGGACAAGGGCATTGGGAGGAGGGACAGCGCCGCAGGCTGGCTTCTAGGACCCTGTCACTCTGCATGTTCAGCATCGCTAGCAGATTCCAGGCTGACAGGCCCAGCCCTGGAAAGGGGAATGGAGAGCAGGGCTGGCCAGCCTGGCTGATGAGCCCCTGGGGCCAAGGCCAGCTGTTACAGCTCCCGTACTGAGGACCCCCACACCCCACTCTCACCCGCAGGGCACGTTCAGCCTGCGGAAGCTGTGGGCCTTCACAGGGCCTGGCTTCCTCATGAGCATCGCTTTCCTGGACCCAGGAAACATCGAGTCGGATCTGCAGGCTGGCGCTGTGGCTGGATTCAAAGTGATTGAGTCGGGGCACTGTGGAAAGGGGGGTGACCAGGCTAAGTGGGTGGAGACCCCAGCTTGCGGCATTTCCCCAGAGTGGCCTGCATGGCTGGTGTTCCTGAGAGAAGGTGTTAAGTTTGAATGGGCCAGAAAAGGGCCCCCAGGGCAGCCCTGCCAGAGTGCGGGGTGTATGGGACTGCGGGGGAAGTTGGTCTTTTGGCTCCATCTCCCTTACTCTCTCTCCAAGGAGTGTCCTTGGTTAGAGGCGGCCATCGATTTGGGGCTTAGCAGAAACTGCTGCCTCTGGTTGAAGGCTTCTCCTTTCACAGCTGCTCTGGGTGCTGCTGTGGGCCACGGTATTGGGCTTGCTCTGCCAGCGACTTGCTGCCCGGCTGGGCGTGGTGACAGGGAAGGACTTGGGCGAGGTCTGCCATCTCTATTATCCTAAGGTGAGCTTGGTGGGCCTGGACAGGAAACACCCACAGGTCCCAAACCCCAAAATAGCCATGTACAGCTACTATGATCAAATACATACATCATCTCAAGTAGGGTGTCACAAATCCATTTAATAGATGAGAAGACTGAGGCTCAAATTAATAGCACACAGACTGAGGGACGTTAGACATGCCATGTTCGTTTTACAGAAGGGGGAATTGAAACCTGGAGAAGTGATTTTCCCAAGGCAAAAATTAGGTAGGCATCAGCTCAGGATGGTCACTGGCTGGGGTGAGAGGATGACACTGCGGGCTTGGCTGTTGTCAGTGTCCAAGCAGGAAAACCGAAATTCGGCCATTAGATATTTCAAAGGTATTTAATACAGGGATGTAGTCCCAAAGGTGTTGGGAGGGCTGGAGGAGCAAGGGAAGGAGGTGTTACCAAGAGGTCAGAAAGCTACTGGGCAGGGGCCCAAGAGCCATCATTTACTGTTGAGCTTCTGGGAGCATTGCCCACCTCTGCTGAAATGGCCACCAGTGCTGCTGGAGCCCAGGCTGCCTGGTGCTTTTGCTGATGCCACTGCCAGAAACACCAGCAGAAGCAGGGGAAACATAATTTCTCCCTGCCTTTTAATCTCCCATAAGTGTTTCCTGCCAACCCAATTGGAAGCCAGCTGGCAAGGCTGTCTTGCAAATGTAGTTTGCAGGCTTCCAGCCCAGCAGTACAGTGCCGAGTATGGAAAAGTGAGTGTAGGGCTGAGACACACAACTGGTCCAGCCTTGAGCAGGTAACCTCCTCCCCTAGGTGCCTCGAATCTTCCTCTGGCTGACCATTGAGCTAGCCATTGTGGGCTCGGACATGCAAGAGGTCATCGGCACAGCTATAGCCTTCAGTCTGCTCTCGGCTGGACGGTACTACCCCAGGGGGCTGAGCTCTTCGGTCCAGGGCTGGGAACGGCTGCTACTTCTTCCCCAGGCCTTGTACTTCCCTCAGTCCATTTCATCTTGCAGTCCCCTCTGACTCAGAGCTGTTGCCCAATTTGCCAGATGGGGAAACAGAGACCCAGAAATGTAGTTATTTGTCTGAAAAGTCACACAGATGTCAGTGATGATGCAGGCTATCACCCCAAGCTGCCTACCGTGCTGGTCCTCCATGCAACTTGGCCCTTCCTCTCATGTTCTGTGCCATTTCATTGTCCATCTTCAGTGCACTCCCATTCCCCTCGCCTATAGCTGTCTGGGGCCACTTAGGTCTCTGCTCCCAGGAGGCTAGATTCCACAGTTTTTAGCCCCGAGGGTGGGAATTCCCTGGACCAGGCTGGGCTGACCCAGGCTACTCTGGTTTCAGAATCCCTCTCTGGGGTGGCGTCCTCATCACCATTGTGGACACTTTCTTCTTCCTGTTCCTCGACAACTACGGTGGGTGAGCCCCTCATCGTGGAGGGGCCTGTACTGCGGGGTAGGCAAGTGAGTGTCAGAGCTGGCTGTTGTTTGGCTGTTCCGGGAAGGGCTCTGGGCTGAGCTTCCTCGCTCTGGCTCTGTGACCTTCAGCAAGTGACACCGACTTGTGTTTCTTCATCTATAAGTTGGGGGAAATACTAGCACAGATGTCATAGGGCTGTGGTGAGAATTCACTGAGTGCCTGGAACAAAGTACTCAAAGTTTCGCCACTAATAATTGCCGACGTTACAATTTTTTGTGGGTTTTTTTTTGTTGTTGTTCTGCCCCTTTGCTTTTCCCCTAGGGTTGCGGAAACTGGAAGCCTTTTTTGGATTCCTTATTACCATCATGGCCTTGACCTTCGGCTATGAGGTGGGAGCCAGAGCTGCAACGCCCACTCCACCCCACCCCCAAGGCCACCCCTCTCTCTCTGCCCCCTGTAGAATTTGAGGGGACAGGGTGGAGGGCTGAGGATCATGAGGGTGAAAATAGCTGCTGCACAGGGTGGGGGTTTGGGCTGACCAGCCTCCTCCCTACAGTACGTGGTGGCACGTCCAGCTCAGGGAGCACTTCTTAGAGGTCTGTTCCTGCCCACATGCCCCGGCTGTGGCCAGCCGGAGCTGCTGCAGGCTGTGGGAATCGTTGGTGCCATCATCATGCCCCATAACATCTACCTGCATTCGGCCTTGGTCAAGGTGAGCAGAGGGGCAGGGAGGGAGAGATGCCTGCTCCCTTAGAGTCACACTGGTCCTGCCTCCAAGCCTGGAGCCCCACCCCAACACCTGCCTTCATGATTTTAACCATCTACTGTGTGCTGGGATCCGGGAGTCAATGATGAAAAGACAGACAAGTCTTCTGCCTTCCTCAAGCTTGCATTTTAGCGAGGGACACAAACCACGAGCAAGTAAACAAATAAAGGAAAGAATTATGGATTGTGCAAGGTACTCTGAAGGAAACGAAACAGAGAAGTGTGATAGAGAATGACTGAGGAGGGAGCTAATATAGAAAAGGTAGCCCGGAAAGGTCTTTCTAAGGAGGTTACCTTTGAGACATGGAGGATGGGAAGGAAGATCAGGGCAGAAGACATGCTAAGCAGAGGGAATGGTGAGTGCAAAGGCCCTGAGGAGAAATGAACTGGGCATGTAGGAAGGGCGTCAGCTGACCAGGGCCTGTCCCAGGCTGCCGTGTAGGGGGCTTTAGAAAAAACTGACGTTTGGGGAGAACATAGGTAGAGAGACGTGAGAGTGGAGAATGTTGGGGTGGCTCTGAGAGACTGGTTCCTCTCCCTCTTTGACATTTATAGTCTCGAGAGATAGACCGGACCCGCCGGGCTGACATTCGAGAAGCCAACCTGTACTTCCTGATTGAGGCCACCATCGCCCTGTCAGTCTCCTTCTTCATCAACCTCTTCGTTGTGGCTGTCTTTGGGCAAGCCTTCTACCAGCAAACCAACCAGGATGCGGTGAGACACACCTCCCCACGCCGTAGCATGCCCCCCACACACAGGCCCTTCAGGCTTTGAGGGGGACTCCAGGCAACGCATCTAAGCCCTTTGAGTCTCTGCCCTACACTTCAGGCACTGGTAGGCGAGAGTGTGTGTGACCCTGGCCTCTGGCTGGGACCCCCTTCGTCACCCCACTGGGGAGACACAGTTCCCCCCAGGCAGGATCTTAGAGGGTCAGAGACTGCAAGGCACACATGTCCAAGGGAGGGGCCTGGGAGGAAGTTGCTGAGTGAGAGGACTCAGCATTCCAGCTGCACCAGGACGGATGGGCAGTATTTGCCCAGCAAATTGCAGAGAGGGCGTGCTGGGAAGGAGGGGTGCCTGAGCATGAGTGTGGAGTAGGGATGTGCACACAGTCATTTTCTTCTCGGAGCCTTCTTTCCTCATAATCTTCATTAGCAGATTAACTGTCATTCATTCAGCAAGCATTTACTGAGCATTTGTTATGTATCAGGCAGTGTCCTAGGCCCTGGGGATACAGCAGTGATAACAAGACTATTCCCTTGCAACTTAAATTTAGAGGGCAGTGAGCAGACAGGAAACACATCACAAATCAGTACAAAAGGGAAGAATGTGGACTATATTGTGAAGGAAATAAAGGGGGTGATGAAACATCACTGGGAGTGTGATGAGGAAGGGGCTACATTAGTCATGGTGGTCAGGAGTGGAGGTGGTGACATTGGAGCTGACTCTGAAAGAGGAGCCAGCCAGTTCCTCCCTGGCACTCTGGGATTTGGGGCCTGTGCTTGTTTGTCTGAGTGGGTCTCTGCCATGAGGCTCTAATAACTGCTAGCCAGTGTTGGGTGCTCACTGGTCAGATTCAGCTGGTGGGCCAACTGTTTTCAACCTCTGATCAAGGCCCGGTGGTCTGAGTTTCTTTTTTTCTTTTTTAAAGATTTTATTGGGGAATTGGGGAAGGGGAACAGTGCTGGGGAATTGGGGCAGGGGAACAGCCAAGTTGTCCTTCAATCTTAGTTGTGGAGGGCACAGCTAGCTCAGTTCCAAGTCCAGTTGCCATCCAGCTGCCCGTTGGCAGCTTGCCACCGCTCAGCTCAAGGTGCCGTGTTCAATCTTAGTTGCGGGTGGGCGTAGCCCACAATCCCATGTGGGAATCAAACCCGCAACCTTGTTGTTAGGATCACGTGCTCTCACCAGCTGAGCCATCCTGCCATCTGTTGGCAACTCAGCAGGGGCTCAGTTCAGGCGCAGCTCACTGGCCCATGTGGGAATCGAACCAGCAACCCTGTGGCTCAGAGCTCACACTCTTAACCAACTGAGCCACTCGGCTTGCCCTTGTGGTCTGAGTTTCCTAGACTGACTGTGTACTTCATATCTCCCTCCTACCGCCCCTGGTGCCCACAGTTCAACGTCTGTGCCAACAGCAGCCTCCAGAAGTACGCCAAGATCTTCCCCATGAACAACCAAACAGTGGACGTAGACATTTACCAAGGAGTAAGTGCGGAGCAGCCGCAGGCTTGGAAGGGCTTGATCCTGCAAGGCTCCTCACTATGCTCACCTCCAGGGGCGGAGCCTGCGCGAGGGGCGGGGCCATGGGTCTGACCACACTGCTCCCTCCAGGGCGTGATCCTGGGCTGCCTCTTTGGCCCTGCAGCCCTCTACATCTGGGCAGTGGGTCTCCTGGCAGCCGGACAGAGCTCCACCATGACCGGCACCTACGCAGGACAGTTTGTGATGGAGGTGGGTGAGCCAGGGAGAGCCAGGGGTCCAAGGTCAACAAGCACACTAGTGGGGGCTCGGACATGGGCCTCCTTGATCCTTAAACAGCCCTCATCTGTTTCTCCTCTGTTAAGAGTAACAGATGAGAAAACGAAGATTCAGAGGTGAGGCGACTGGCCCGAGGTTGCAGACCCAGGACTAAATAGAAGCCCTTTCTCTAAAGCTCTTTAGTCTTCAGCAATCAGCTGTGGGAAGGAAATCTCCCTAATCCATCCCCTCTCCACCAACTAGGGACAGAGCTAACCCCCATTTTGGAGATGGAAAAACAGAGGGTTCCCCTAGGTATGAGATAGGCTGCAGGTCCCTCCTCTGGAATCCCCAATCCTGCACCCCGCCACCAAAGTGCCCATCCCATAACTCCAGGGCTTCCTGAAGCTGCGGTGGTCACGTTTTGCCCGCGTTCTCCTCACTCGCTCCTGCGCCATCCTGCCCACTGTGCTCGTGGCTGTCTTCAGGGACATGAGAGACCTGTCAGGCCTCAACGACCTGCTCAACGTGCTGCAAAGCCTGCTGGTGAGGGCATCCTTCTCACCTCTGCCTCTGCGGAGCTCAACAGGAACCACAGCAATTCCCTATATTGAGCCGACCCCCCTCCCGGGCACAACCTAAACACATCTTGCCAACAAGGCTCACATAATCCTCACAGAAAGCCCAGGGCCAGGAACCACCATTATCCCCATTTTGCAGATTAAAAAACTGATGCACACAGTTAAGTGACCAGTGGCAGCTCTGGCATTCAAACTCAGGCAGCCTGGGACCAGAGCCTCCAAACACGTTCTCCTGCTTTGGAGCCCCACAAGCTTGGAAGGCACAGAGGTGGAGAAACTGAGGCTGAGAGTGGTTAGGAGACTTGCACACAGCCTGGCAGAGGATGATAGGAGCCCCGGTCCCCTCCTCGCTGTGTTCTGAGGGCAGGGACCCTCAGCCCCATCCTCTCGCTTCTCCCTAGCTTCCCTTTGCTGTGCTGCCCATCCTCACATTCACCAGCATGCCTGCCCTCATGCAGGAGTTTGCCAGTGGCTGGTGAGTACTCCCTATCCCACGCACTGGACTTGCATTACTGCATATGATCCTCACCACCACCCAGAGGTAGGAATTGCCATTATTATCCCCGTTATCCAGATAAGCTCAGAGAGGTTAAAGAACTTGTCCAAGGTCACACAGCTAGCAAGTGGGGTAGCCGGGATGGGAATCAGGGTGGGGGCCGTTTCTAGAGCCTGAGCTGTTCACCCTCACCTCAGACTCTGCTCTTGCCAAATCCCACCAGGGTGGAATCTAGAGGTTACCAGGAGGCAGAGTGGGTGTGGGTCTGCTCCAGGTCCCACAGCCCAGAGAAGCTGGCTTTGTGTATCCCCCACCTCTCCCCACCCCTGCTCCAGGCTGGCTGTGGGCACGGGAGGGAGAGACGGAAGGGGGAGAGACGCAGCCAGCCCTGAGCTTCCCTCCTGTCCCCCAGGCTGAGCAAGGCCATCACGTCCTCCATCATGGCACTGATTTGTGCCATCAACCTCTACTTTGTGATCAGCTACCTGCCGGGCCTCCACCACCCCGCCTACTTCGGGCTTGTAGCCCTCCTAGCCGCAGCCTACCTAGGCCTCACTACCTACCTGGTAATGTAGGGTCAGTGGATGCCTTGGGGATGGGGGAGACACGGAGAGGAGGCAAAAGACTGAGGGAGGGGGGAATGGACTGAGGCTCCCCCCAGAGGTCTTGTTCTTTCCCCATTCATGATGGTCCTCCCCCCAGGTCTGGACCTGTTTCATCGCCCACGGAGCCACTATGCTGGCCCATCGCTCCCACCAACACTTCTTGTACGGGCTTCCTGAAGAGGAGCAGAAAGGGGAGCCCTCCAGATGAACTCCCACCCAGGGCCTGACTAGGCTATGAAATGAGTGGGGCAGACTGGCCTTCTGGTGATAGGGGTGGGGGCTGTAGAGGCAAAGCAGATGGAGTGGGAGCTTTGGAGGCAGGCCAACCTGAGTTCTATAGGGACCTGTTTCCTAGCTTAGACAAGTGATTAACTTCTAGGCCTCAGTGTCCTCGTCTGTAAAATGGGACACCAACCTTGCAATGGATGTAAAGCACTTTAACACAGTGCCTGGCACTGGGACTTAAAAAAAAATCACCCCCAAAGTATTTATTGAGCACCTATGAGAGTGACCTGACAGGCTGACCTAGTTGGGGATGGTACACAGGCTCCAAATGGCATTTAAAATAGAGTCTGATGAATGCTAAATCATAGCTATTTAATAGTTTCCTTCTCACCCAAAAGAGCATGAAACCCCTGAGCCATCAAGAGAAGCCCCCTACTCCATGTCTCCTCTCGCTGTCTCCCTTCTACTCTCGCTGGGGTGGCCTCAGCCTTTTTGTTCCACCAGCAACCCATTTTCTAGGCAGTAAAAGTGAGGCGCAGTTCTCCCTCCGTCAGGCGCCAGGTCATAAGGAACCCAAGAGTCTATGCCTCAGAAGTCCAATTCATTTGCCATCTCCTCAGGGAACCCGGCGGCCGGGACTCCCACTGTTATATTGGAAATCAGCGAGCTGAACAGAAGACACCACAGTCAATAGGCCGAATTAGGAGTCTTTATTTCAGAATTCAGCGACCCCAACAGGACTCATGTCGCTCCAAACCTCGCGGCCCCGAGTGAGCTCAGGGGTCTGCTTATAAGGGTAAAAACCACATCCTGCTAGGAATGCGAGGGGAGCTGTGCTTAGCCAAGCGAGTCACAGAAGCCAAAACCAGCCGAGTTGAGACTGTCTATGGGTATATCTGGGGGTTATTTCCTGGAGCTTAACAGAACAAACCGCCACCTGTGTTCGGTGGAAAATTTTGCAACCTGGAGCCCTGTGGGTAACACAGAATGGAGGGCAGAGGACAAGATGGAGTCAGTCTTGTCAGGGCCCGTTGTTCATTCCCCACTGGTCTTATGTATGAGTCAAATCATCGACTCTTCCTGGTCATTATTAGGAAGGGGGTTGTAGTGACCTCTGAGGATCATTAGTTTGAATTTTCCGTTGAACGAAGCTGGTGAAACAATCTATAAGACAAGAGCCGAAAATGAGGGCAAGGAGTAACAAAGTTAGTGGACCCACTGCGGCGGACAGGAGGGTAGTTAGCCATGGAGACCAATGAAAAAGTCTTTGAAACCAGTTCTGGGAACCTTTTAGCTGCTGTTTTCGTTTTTTCTATATTTTTCCTGACTAAAGCTAAACTTTTTTGGATGACTCCTGTCTCATTAGCATAAAAGCAGCAGGTCTCCCCAGAATCAGTGAGTGGTCCTATAGGGGTTTTAGGCCGAGTTCTAGCTGTTCTCTGAATAGTAAATAAAGTGCCTGGGTCTATACCTGTTACATGTTTGTCTAATTCCCCAAGGTTTTGAATGTCCTTCTCGGCCAAGGTTAAAAGTCCCCTTTCCTTGTAAATTGCGCTGTGTAAGTGTGCTGTGGTGAAGGCGTACCTGCTATCGGTGTAAATTGTTACCGATTTTCGTTGTGCCCACCGGAGAGCCTAGATAACGGCAATGAGCTCGGCCTTCTGAGCGGATGTCCCATGTGCCAGGGACTGTGACCAGATGGTACGATCCAAGGTGACTACTGCTGCCCCCGCGTACCTGACTCCTCCTCAGACAAAACTACTCCCATCCGTGTACAGTACCTCGTCTGGAGACGCCAGTGGAGTGTCTGTAAGATCTGGGTGGACTGTTTGTACCATGTTGATGACCTCTAGGCAATCATGGAGAGGTTCCTTTGGGTCGTCATCAGGGAGGAGGCTAGCAGGATTGACAGCGAGTGTCTTGTGGAACCTGATGTGGGGCTGGTCCAGTAGGAGAGCCTGGAACTGGGTGATTCGAGCGTTTGACATCCAGCGTTCTGGCGCGCTTCTGAGCAGGGCCTCAACAGCATGGGGGGCTGTTAGAATTAGTTCTTGGCCTAGGGTTAGCTTGTCGGCCTCCTTGATGAGGACGGCCGTGGCTGCTACTGCCTGGAGGCAGGTGGGCCACCCAGACGCAACAGGGTTAAGTCTCTGACAGATAGGCGGCTGGCCTCTTCCAGGGCCACAAGCTCTGGGTGAGGACTCCCGTGGCTATGCCTTTTGCCTCATTTATAAAGAGGTGAAATGGCTTGGTTATGTTGGGCAATGCCAGGGCAGAGGCTGAGGCAAGTGCAGTTTTTAATTTTTCAAAGGCCAGTTGTTCGACCTCAGTCCAATTTAATGGTTGAGTTCCTCCCCCCATGCTGGAATACAATGGGTTCGCAATCTCTGGGAACCCCGGAATCCAAAGGCGGCAATAGCCTACTGCCTCCCAAAATTCTCATACCAGTCTCTTAGTCTTTGGGGCTGGGATCCGCAGAACTGCCTCAACGCGGCTGAGGGAGAGCGTCCGCTTACCTTGGCTGATTTGGTATCCAAGGTAGGTGACCTCCGGAGTGCAGAGCTAGTCCTTCTTGGCCGAAACCAGGTATCCTAAGGCCTGTAGAGTACTTAGGAGGTTCTCGGTGGCTTTTCAGCACACGGCCTCAGTGTCGGTGGCAAGGAGGACATCACCCACATACTGCAGCAGGGTGCATCCAGGGTGTTCTTGACGAAAGGTGGGGAGGTCCTGACTCAGCGCTTCATCAAACAGAGATGGGGAGTTTTTGAATCCCTGTGGCAACCGTGTCCAGGTTAATTGTCCCAAGGTTCCTGCCTCTGGGTCGGTCCATTCAAAAGCGAAGATAGACTGACTGGCGGGGGCCAGAGGATGCTGAACTGGCATTGTGACCATCAGTTGGACTACGACAGGGGCCTGGTGGCTTGCCAGCCCTGGAGGGTTGTTTTCCACCTACGCGGGAAAACGGGAAAACGTTGCTGTAAGTCTTGTAGGTATGTGGAGAGTTCGTAGCCCGAGGGAGGTGCTGGAGAGGCCTTTTCCTGTAAGAGATATTCTTCCAACAGAGGACAGGTGAGAAGGATCTTAATAGGATGGGGATCTCTGCCTGGGGGGCCCGGAGGTCCTACTGTAAAACTCGCTTCATCCCCAGCAAACGAGATGGTAGCCTGTAGTTTTGGAAGGAGGTCCCGTCCTAGTAAGGGGTAAGGGCGGTCCAGAACGACTAGGAATGAGTGGGTTACAGTATTCTTTTTAAGGTCGACTGTCCTTGGTGAAGTCCAAGGGCAGAAGGTGGACTTTCCTGCGGCTCATTGGATGGAAGTTTTCTTGGTGGTTACAGGTCCCATAGGCTCCGTCAAGACGGAATAAGTGGCACCAGTATCTACCAGAAAACTAATTGGCCTGCCCCCTACATGTAATGTAACCCTGGGCTCCTGGGGGCTGAGCTGAATGGAGCCCTGGCCGCGTCAGTCCTCATCTAAACTTAAGACTCGTGGGGCTTGGGGCACCCTCTTTTCCTTTCCGTCAGGTCTCTCAGGGCACTCTCTCTTCCAGTGTCCTTCCTTTTTGCAATAGGCCCGTTGATTTTTTCCTAGCCGAGGTCTGGCTCCTGGTTGTGAGTTTCTCTGGGGCCCCCTCCTACCTTGGGGTCTGTTTCCTTGAGAGCTGCTGTAACTGCCCTGGCTAACCTCTTTTCCTGTTTTTCCCCGGAGGAACCCCTATTGTACACTTTCTGGGCTATTTCAACTAGTTGGGATAGGTCATTCCTTGGAACACTTCCAATCTCTGGAACTTTTTCTCTAATGTCTAATGGAGCTGACTGGGTCACAAAGGCTAGATTGGCAGCCCGTTGATTTTCTGGAGCGTCTGGAATGGGAGTATAGACCCTGTAGGCTTCACAGAGGCGCTCCAGAAAAGCCTTGGGCGATTCTTGTGTCCGCTGGATAATTTCAGTGACCTTAGACAGATTAGTGGACCTTCTAGCCACTGCCTTTATGCCTGACAGAAGAACATGGTGAAAAGTGTCCAAAGAGGCCCATCCGCCCGCCAAATTTGGGTCCCAGCGGGGCAGGTGGACAGGAACACATCTTCAATGAGGTCCTGATTTTCCTCTAGTGAACCCCCTCCTGGCCCAAGAGAGGCCTTTCTGGACTCAAGCCGGATCCTATCTCTCTCTTCCGATGAGGAGTTATCCAAGGTCATCCCAGGTCATCCCAGGTCAGCTGATGGGTGTGAAGACCAGACTCAAGTAGACTATTTAGAGCTTGGGGCTTCTCAGAAAATGGAGGATTTGGGGTTTTTCAGTTACAGAGGTCACTCATGGAGAATGGGACATAGACTAAAAAGGGTCACCCCCCACATTCCCTTGGGGGGGAACCTCCCATAGGGGCAGGATGGGGTCTCCAGGCGTAGAGGACCCAAGGCCACCTTCACGAGCCTGTGTGCGGCTGCGGATAGTGGGTGGCCAGAGTGGGAAAGGCGGGCTCTCCTCGTGGGAATGTTGTTGGGGTCCCTGGATTTTTTTCCTGGGAGAAGGACTGGGGGCCCCGCCCGGGGGCCCCTGGTAGTTTTTTTTTCTTGGGGTCCACTGCCAGAACCCGGACTCCTGCCCACCGGGCACATCTCCTCAACCATGGCGGGGGATTTTGTTAGTTTCCCCTTGGTAAGTTTCATGCCACAATCACCAGAGAAGCCTGACTTGAAATTATGGAAAATGCATTGTAAGGGTGTCTCAACAGTGCTGGACACCCCCACCCCCACCCCCACAGCCCCCCTATAGTGAGACAGATGAAGATGATTCCTACTGAGGGGAGAAAAAGGAGACAGAAGATCTCCGGAGAAAATCAAAAACGAAGGAAAAAACCAAGATAGGTCCTCAAGGAGGACCCTGACAAATAAGCAGAAACGACAAAAGAGATAAGGAGGGCACATGGGCCACTCTTAAGGAACCAGGATTCTCGACTGACGTCTCAATCTGAGAATCTTAGAGAAGTCGTGACTGCGTCCAGTCCTTCTCCCGACAACCACCTGACCGGCCACAGACAGACATGTGAACAAAGTTCGCTTACCTCCGGAGGTCTGACTGGTGACTCCGAAAATGTGAAGAGGCACAACACGCGTCTCCCGTCGTCTGGCCGTTAGATCCACCGAGAAACCTGTCTGGGGCCCTGGAACGTCTCAGGTGGCGCCTCCCCTAGAGATTTTTCTGGGGATGAGCAGCCAACCGGGGAGGCTGCCTGCCAACAGCGTCGGCGGAAACCGGGTGCCGGTAGGCACAATCGCACTGGGGCCTCCAAATGTTATAATGGAAATCAGCGAGCTGAACAGAAGACACCACAGTCAATAGGCCAAATTAGGAGTCTTTATTTCAGAATTCAGCGACCCCAACAGGACTCATGTTGCTCCAAACCTCGCGGCCCCGAGTGAGCTCAGGGGTCTGCTTATAAGGGTAAAAACCACATCCTGCTTGGAATGCGAGGGGAGCTGGGCTTAGCCAAGCGAGTCACAGAAGCCAAAAACAGCCCAGTTGAGCCTATCTGTGGGTATATCTGGGGGTTATTTCCTGGAGCTTAACAGAACAAACCGCCACCTGTGTTCAGTGGAAAATTTTGCAACCTGGAGCCCTGTGGGTAACACAGAATGGAGGGCAGAGGACAAGATGGAGTCAGTCTTGTCAGGGCCCGTTGTTCCCAAGCCGCGCAGTTAACGCTCCCTGAGCGCTAACTCCCAGCTCCCCTTAGGGGCAGGGACGTCCTGGGCGCCTGCACTCCCCGCCTCAGCCTCGCCCAACCCGGCCAGAGAGGAGGCGGGTACTTTGGCCTCACGCCCGGGAGCCTCAGAATCATCCCTGACAAGGAGGTGGGGGTTGGGGGAGCTGTGTGGGTGGGGAACCCCCTCTCCTGCTGGGAGCAGCGGGACTATCCTTCGCCTTGTGCAGAGGCTGCACTTTACAGACGCTCCCTGGGCTGTTTCTAGGCTCCCCCTAGTCGCTCCCCCTAGTCCCTCCTCCTGCCTCTTCCAGTCGCAGGGACCCCAGCCCCAGAGCTGCGGAAAGCGGCGATATAGGAGGGGTTGCCGGACTTTTCCCCTGGGTTGAGCCTGGAGTGGGCTCTGTGCCTGGAAGCACCCCCAATTTCCCGGGGATCCGGCGGGGCAAGCTCCACTCTCCGGATGGGTCGCTTGTTTATGAGAAGAATTTCCTCTTTCTTAAAAGGGCAACAATGGCAGTGGGGCCCTCAAGCAGGACGGAATGGGACAGGTCTGGCTCAGCCAGAGCAACGGTGGAAGAGGTTACCTGGGCAAGAAGGGTGCTCAATCCCCTTACCCGTACTTGGCCCTGGAGAAGATGGGGGCCCATACCAGCTGAAGGAGGCGATGGATAGAGGCCAGGTAGTGGAGAAAGGCATCTCCCAGCCCCTTCTTCAGCTTCCTGGAGGTGCCTCCAGATTACGCTCTGCACACCCCTCTGGTCAATTCACTAGATACTATATGGGCACCAGCCCTGTGTTAGACGTCGGGGAGGGAGGTAAAGTTCCCGATTAAAGACGTCCGCTCTCAAGAAGTTCACACTCCGGTGGGAGGGGGGACGGGCGGCAGGGGAGACAGACAAGTAAATAACAACTCACTATATAGTGGGATGGGGAACCACCTTTGTGTATGTCGGGCACGCCTGGAAAGAGCGAGGCAAGGGCCAGAGAAAATAACTTCTGGACAGATCTTGACAGCTGAATAAGCGGGGGTGGGGGGGATAGAAGCATGACAGGAGGAGGAGGGGCTGTAGGTGCGCAGAGTGGTGCAACCTTGTGGAGAGCTCTTAGATCTTCCGGAGCAGGAAGGCGACCCCAGAGGAATGGGCAGGCTGGTCATGGGAATAGTTAAGCCTGGGACTTAGGACCTGGGGGCAAGGAAGGCGGGGAGGGGAGGGGACCACAGGGACCGCTAAGGAGCTACCCTGGGCCTGGGTGAGGGGTTAGCAATAGGTCAAGCCAAGGTCAGTCATTTCAGGTAAAGGGTGGCCCCTAAGTGCTGCCCCCCCCTCCCCCATATCCATAGCAGTTCTGGTCCTCCCAGGTGCCAGGCTCAGATCTAACTTGAGGAGGTGGGAGTGGCTTGGCATCTTGACCCGGCAGGAGCCTGCCCAGGGCGCCTTGCCTTTCGTACAAGGCACCCCACCCCATTTGGCAGATGGGTTAGCTGCGTGCTGGATGGAGAAGACACTTGTGCACAGTGCCAGACAGAACCAGGTGTTTTCCTATTCACAGTCCCTATGACTCTGTTCGTCCTGGGGTGCAAACCAATGAAACGCATAAAAATAGACATTGTAGGTGGCCTCCAGCAGCTGAGGTAGAGAGGGACAGCAATGGGTGTGCCCCTCCCACTCCCCGTGAGGAAACCCAAACAGCCCCACCCCCACCCTACTTCCACCAGCTCCTCAGTCCCCACAGCCGCCGACCCTGCACCGCAGGGGCCTGTCTGACTCACTCTGCAACCACCCGCCCAGACCCCCAGACCGAGGGCGCACCTCGCAGTGCCTGGAAACCTGGCAGGAAAGCAGGTCTCCCAAGGACAGAGGCTGCACCAGCAAAGGCTTGGAGAGGGTAATAGGAGTGGGAGACGAAGGGAATTGCGAGTGGGGCCGGGGCGCAGCGGCCCTGCCCCCGCGTCAGCTCCTCTGACCCTCGAGGGAACAGCCAGTCAGGTTCCTGTCTTCACGGAGGGAGACACGGAGGGGCAGGAAGGCGAGCCGCCCCGCTCAAGCCAGGGCTTCACTCGGTCTTCGCCACACATTTCCTCTTGGGGTCAATGCGGGCTGGGCCTCGGAGATAAAACTGTGTCCTCCACACATCCTCCCGGACGGCCCAAGGGATGGGGGCTCCGCCTGGTAACCAGGATCCCGCCTCTGCCCTTGCTTCAGGGCTGGGTCAAGTCGCCTCACTTCTGGGAGCTCAGTTTCTTTATCTGTAAAATGGAGGAAGAAGGGGGTCATTCCGAGAAGTCAATGAATGAGATGAGGGGGCGCATCCAGAGCGGGACCCAAACTAAGCACTCGCTACACGTTAGCGATTACGATTAATGCAATGAGGGCAGCCTTGAGGGCGCCGTAAGAACAGGAGGGGTACCGTGGGGGTCCAGTCTGGGGGTGGGGGTAGGGTCACCGCCCAGGGTCACCTCCTCCGTTCTCCTGTCATTGGACGCGGAGCTGGCTCTCCTTCAGGCAGTCGCCTCTTTCCTCTGGTCCCGGCCCCCGCGCGGGGCCTCCCACACCCCGGTTCTCCCGAGTCCAGGAGGATTTGCGCCGTTGCACCGGGCGGCTGGTCCCGACAGGACGCGCCCGCCCCACCCCGCCCTGCCCCGCCGCCGAGGCCGGTAGGGGAAGGAAGTGCTGAGACGTGTTTGTCAAGGCTTGGCGTTATTTTTTAAATTGTGAACACAAAATAGTAACCACGAATGAAAGGAACGTCATAAGCGGAAACAAACAAAAACCAAACACCCGTAGCCCTCACGGCGCCTAACACGAGAGTTTCCCTCGTGAAGAGTGCGTGTGGACGCGGGCCCCGCGCGGGCCAGGGTGTGTCTGCACCGACCTGGGTGGAACCGGTGTTTAAAAGCCTCCAAGAGTGGATGTCTGAGGCCCCATGGTCGGGCACTGGGCCCGCAGGAATTGAGCGCCCACTGTGTGCGGGTGCCGTCCCCGACCCCCACCCCCTGCCAATAATCACAGAGTGGCCGGCGTGGGAGTAGAGGAAGGGGGTCTGGGAAGGTCTTTTGGAGACTAGCATTTCATCGTGGCATTTGTGGGATTTGGCTCCGCGGTTAGGGAGGAGAGGGAGAAAGCGCGTTCCAGGCAGAGGGAGCATCGCAGACTAAGGCTCCGCCTGGAGGGAATACGAGGTAGCTGGCGTGGGCACCGGAGCCCGAAGTACCCGGCGCCAGGTGGGGCAGTTGGGAGAGGTCCGCAGGGGTCATCCCGGGGCAGGAAGTTGGGATTTTCACGGCCTACAAATACATGTCACCTGGTCCCGAAACTGCGGTGGGTGATTCTGGTCAAAAGCCTAAGTGTGTGAATCTGCACAGCTGTTTGGAAGGAGCAAAGCGCCACCGCTCGCTCACGACATACTGCGAGGTGGCTCCTGCGACGATAGGACAGAAGGCCCAATTTTATAGACCAGAGAGCGTTATTCCCATTTCCCAGATGAGAAAACTGAGAAGCAGCTTGTCCGCGTTCCTCGGATTGCGCAGAGGTGGAGCCGCGCGGCCCTCTGGCACTCCCAGGCGTGGGCGCTCCCAGCGGGTGGGGCAGGCCCTGACCCTTCGCGCTGGGCGGCCTGGAACGGTGGGCAGGGTGTAGGTCCTGCCACGCAGCCGCAGAGGCTCCCCGCAGGCGAGCGGCAGGAAGGGAGGCGACGTCCCCTTGAGCGCCGCTGGAACACCGCCGGGCCCGCCTCCCCGCCCGCCGAGCCGCGCCGGCCCCGAAAGTGATGAAAGCCGCGGCAGAGTCCAGGTCACACCGAAGCCGTTGCCCTTTTAAGGGGGAGCCTTGAAACGGCGCCCGGGTTCCATGTTTGCATCCGCCTCGCGGGGAGGAAACTCCATGTTGTAACAAAGTTTCCTCCGCGCCCCCTCCCTCCCCCTCCCCCTTAGAACCTGGCTCCCCTCCCCTCTGAAGCTTGCGGGGATCCCTCCCTCC